ATAGGCCAGATAGACCCTGTACCATCTTAGTAGCTCGTCGTTGGACTCTTTCTAGCATATCTGCTTCATATTTGAAACAAGGACTCGCTGCTTGAATCCCGTATTCTAAATGTGGTCGCACATAAATCGGGTATAGTAATAAAAACATTTCATCATCTAAATACTGAAAAGACCTACGAATTGACCATAATACCCTATAGCCTTTTGCAGCAGCAGCCTTACAGTGACTAGTCGTTTTGAGATCATTGCCTAATATGACTCTCAAATCTTTATAGTTTCTTGCTTTGGGTAGCACGAATCCACGTAGTGTATAGTCATACGATTCATCAGAGTTATTTAACTGCATCACTACACTCTTATTAGGATTTACTTCTAGTGACCACCTGTCTAACCATGCCACCAATGAGCTAAGATCGTCCTGTAATACTATTCTGTCCGACATACTGTGTACGGGTCTCCAAATTTTTATGTCATCGGCGAAGATTAGAACGGATGATTTTGCTACAGTTGGTATTTCAGTTACATGAAGTAAAAAGAAAAGAGGACCAAGGATCGTACCTTCAGGAACTCCACTTTTTACACGTACCCACGAGGAGAGCGCTCCATTAGCCCTTACCCTTTGCCTCCTGTCATGGAGAAAGTTACTTATCCAATCGACGACTGTGTTATGGATTCCCAAACGTTCCAGTTTGAATTTGAGACCAGAGTGGGAGACCTTATCGAGGGCCTTACTTAGATCTATGAAAATTACATCCACAGGAGCATTCCGATCCTTTGCCGCAGCCCAATCTTCTCGTGCAATGAGAAGATTTGTCAAGCAAGATAGGCCTTTCCGAAAACCATGTTGTGCCCTGGAGAAAATATTTTGCTCTTCAACATAGTTTATAACAGATATCCGAATGATTTTCTCCATCAGTTTCACAACTGCACTAGTTAAGCTAACGGGTCTATAGTTACTAACTGAATCCCTACTTCCAGCCTTATACACCGGACTTATTATGGCGTATTTCCGGTCTCTAGGATGTCTGGACTGTCTCAGAGACATGTCGAATAGTTCGCTAATGGTTCAGCAATTTCATCTGATATGGCTTTCATAATCCTAGGATGAATGTCATCAGGACCACTGAACTTATCAGGTTTGAGATGCTGAAGTAGCCTTAAAATAGTACCTTTCTCAATGACTGCAGGATCCATCAGCGAGCCGTCACGGTCGCGATGAATCATTGGTCGTTCCTCATTACCGATAGAAAACACTTTACTAAAATATTCCGATAAAGCTTCAGCTTTTTCGGCATCATTCTCTGCTAAGATTAACGGATTGTCTCGTATCAAAAGTGATGGAATTCCATCGCTTCTCGTAGTTCGCCTTTTTATATACAAAAATAACCGTTTCGGACTATATCTAGAATCCCTAACCAATTTTTTTCGTATGAATGTCTAGTCTTGCATATTAATGCTTTACAGGCATTCCTAATCTTACAATAACTGGATCTGTTTTGTTCTAAACCAGTAGAGATGAACATATTCCAGTGACTCTTCCTTTTTCTAAGGAGTGTCCTGACCGTTTTAGTTATCCATGGTGGACTGTTATTTGGTCTTTGCGGTGCCAGGTATGGTATGAACGGGGACGTAACTAGTCTAAATTTACCTTTAAATACAGATCATGGTTCTTCAACTGATATACTAGTATCTGCTAGCGTACAGACCAAGAATGCTTTCGAATGTAATAAATGCATAAAAGCCAAAAAGCTCAATAGAATATCACTTTAACTGTAGTAGATTCAATTAAAGTGTAAATCGTAGTTTTGATACGCAATTTACGATCAAAACAGTTAGCTAATTCAACGAGAAACAATACCACTGTCCTTTTTAGATAGCGCGCGTTCAATAAGTTCAGAAAAAACAGGAGACTGGGTGATCTGTGTTAATCATGGAACTTACCGCAACTCATCTGATATAAAGTTCTTCTGATGGAGCTTTAATCATGTGTTGAGGTAGAGTTACTTCTGTGGATGATTCGATGGTAGTCGAAAGCCAGTTAAAAATAAGTTTTTAACATCTTGAGGACTTTTCTTGGGGTGTGCACGTAAATATTATGTCATCGGAAACAGGAAAAACGAATGCCTATCAAATACAAATTTATCAATATGTAAGTAAAAACTGATAAAGTTTAACAAGCTTATCACCAAAGGACAGCGTCCCGACTCAGAAACCCAGTTTGACTGATGATCTTCGAACCTTTCCCAAAAACCTACTGTAATTTTTAGGTAGGGGTTCGCTGCTATTTGCAATACTGGCGTTTAGGAGAACCGAATACTATACAAGAATTCATGGAGGTTTTAGCATCAACATGGCTATGAGCTCTACGTATTGACCATAGGGTTTTGAGATAGTTTTCAAGTCTTGGGTAGGCCACTATATGTGTCTAGATAATTGGTTGCTCTATGTCATCCACAGTGTAGTTATCGGTACACTGGTGGCCAGTAAGCATCACAGTGTACTCAGAAGAATATATCAGCAACTATCGAACTCCAGATAATTTTTTCAAAGTGTTTTGAATCTGTAGGCAATCACCTTTTTAATCATTTTCCGTATCTTAATATCGTCAGTATATAGCAAAAGCGATGATGATTGGAGGTTAGTAACGTCACTTATATACAGGAACGACAATGACACACTTAAATTAGCTTCTTTTCTGATACTTCTTTCTGTGAAGGTACAGATGAAGTTTTTAAGTATAGACTAATATGGAAAGTGTAGCTACTTTATGATACAAATCCTAGAAAATTCGGTAGCTATTTCAGGGGTTGCAAGAACAAGCAGCAATCGAGTTACAAAATGATTGACCAGTTGTTGGTAGTGTGAGTAATTCACAAATTAGAGAAGCGAGAAGCTGAGAACCATACCACATAGGTAGATAAATACAAATAAGAAAACAAATGAGTGGGCAAGGGTAAGAAACGGCAAATGAAAGGAGGATGACAGTAGATCATTTGGTGAAGGGGACTCCTACTAGTATTTGTAGCGGACGAAATGTGAGATATAGAACTGCGACCCTAATAAGCACATAATCTGTATAAAACCCAGCAAATAAAAAAGTGATATTATCAGGATATTTGTTATTTGATGAGTTATAAAGTGTTTACCTTAAGATAAAAAAAACTACGTGTCGATATATACTTACCGAACTTTGGTTAAAAATAATCAAAAAGTCTAGTTTTACGACTAAGTAAAAAAATAATAAAAAGAATGAAGTTTAATCTGTATTCAACACAGCTCACCAGTTTCGTGCCTATAGGTAACTCTCGTGCTCTTAAAGGAAGAACCCAGACTAGTAGTGAATAGGTCTTTATTTAGATCTTCGCGCAGTCACAGTGGAGCGTGGGATTACCTGTTCAGACAGACAAAGCTTATCAACATTCAATATAAGATAATAGGAAATATAATGCCCATACAAAATAAGGAAGTTAATGGATACGTGAACTCTATTATTTTGACTTATACTTAGGTATTGATCAAATCTTAACTAGTCAACCTAAGCTGTTAGTGCAACGTTAATGTCCGAATACGACGTTTCGCTTAAAGTATTCCATATGCCCTAAGCGAGAGGATCTTTCCCTTCCTAACCTAGAGGGTATGGTCAATAATGATAAGGTTAGTACCCACAGTTTCTATCCTTCAGTCTAATGACCAAATTTGTTGTTTCTTCGGGATTTATAGCGCTTTGGAGGGGGCGTCTGGCAAAGTTTCAAGTTTCGAGACGCAGGAGGATCTGTCTTGAAAAGTGGCATAATGGAGCCACGTGCTTTGGCTGCACATTTGGGACAGTCATCTTCGGTTCCCAAGCTTCACTTCACCATCAGATTCAGGTCTCACTGTTACGTTACTAGTGAAGGGATGGACGCAGGATAGTAGTCTACCCAATGTTCCTCCATAGTTAGAAATAGCATCTCCTGGTGGTTGTTTCGTATCTATTCTTTCAGTAATACAAAGCCTTGTTAGAGTCCATGTTGGAACCCTTCTCAGGTGGTAGCTCTCTGCACTTCAGTTTCGTCTACAGAGACAAGGACTGACGAATCGATGTCCTTTAGGACTTTGTAATAAATATTAGGCATATTAAAGAACATAATGTGGCTCCTTGTGGCCTAGTTGGTATCCATGCACTTCATTCCCAATGCGTGCTACTAACCTTGCTGCAAATATCTTAGTTCTGCAGATTGTCCCACAGCGCGAGTGGCAGACTTCTAGGCCACAATTTCAGGTCTTTTAGCAACATCTCGGACTATTATAACAGGATTGTTGTTGTTTGCTGGAGGTCCTTTGTTCATTTTTCCAGTAGTATAGGTCGGACACTGTTACGACCCAGGAATTCAAAGTATCAATTTAGACGGCTTGTTGAGCACAAGCCCATGTGTTGTTCGGTAGTGTCGACGTTGGAATACTGATCTATACCTTCTGATTGTGCCGGAGTATGAGATGGAAAACTTAGAGGTTTCGACCTATGTATATTTTGAAAGCACCAGTTACTACTTTATATTGTACCCGTTTCAGTGTTGGATACAAGTGATGGCTGAGACATTTTAGCGAGGCCCTCCATTTCTTCAGGCTTCTTTAATTACAGAGCAGGTTCAATGCTACTTTTTTAAACCCAGGAAGCCTGTTCACCTTAAGTGCCTGGCAACAGTGGAACATTTCTGACAGCTTTATGAAGGATGGTCGATTGACATCCCCAACTCCCTACTAAAATAACAAGAAAGCCAAATCCCAACACAAATACCCAGATTTTATGTTGTGAGTTATCGAGTCAAATACTTCTCTAACTCAGTGATTTCTATTTGATCCAAATTGAACTTTTCTGGGAATTACTAGTTAACATATCAATTTGACTTATTTTAATTAGCACGATCTGTTAATCCATCGCTGTTACTATTAATTGTTGATTCTAATTGTTCACAGATATATATATATATGATCCACAACAAGCGAGACAGAACGATAGGTAAGAATAACTCAAATCGTTTTAATGTCATTATAAATAAATGGCAACTGTAGCAACACGAAAATCCCAAGCAGTTTTATTCAGAAAATCTTTTGGATATTACAGGAAATATTTGTACAAAAGTCTGTTTTAGGCATGAATTTGCATCTGTAAGGAAACACAAAAAGTATGTTTTGCTGTTCACTTAATCTGCAGTTTGTCCAGTGTCAATCAAATAAATGGAAATGTTTACTAGGATGCCAAAAAAGCGATTTGTAGAGAAAACTAAGTGTCGCTAATACAAAAGTGACTACTACTCTACACATGGCATTTTTAGCATCATAATTAGCGTTTTCATTTAATTTGGTTGTCTTTATCCATACTTAGTTCTAAGCTACCTCTTAAGAGAATAGAAGCAATTTTGTCCAAATGATCCATGACACCTCTCTGAAGCCATTTTGGTATAGTAATACGTGCCTTGCGGAAGCCAATACTTTCTAAAAGACGATCAAATGCTGGAACTCCAATATTTGTGGCTAAAAGCCAGCGACATTCGGGACTTAATGACCAGTGTATTATGTCATAAACACGAGCATCTTGTACCATAGGTGAGCTAGTTGTTGAGAGAGCACGAAGTCGACCAATAACGTCTTCAGATATAACATTTGTCATTGATGAATGACTCACAAGACCTTGACTGGTATCACCCACATTCCAGATTGCTCCGCTTGAAACTTGAATCAAAAATGAGGAAAAAAGACTCACATTATGCCAATAAGAAAAAGTTATTTTCATGTAAGAACTGTTTTATGCTCATAAGTTTCAAAATTTCGATTACCGTAACGTAAATTTCTATCAGAAGTTGATGCCAATAAATAATTACTATAAAAGAGGAATTGTAGCATAGCCGAAAGTACATAAAATAAATCGTCTATACTTATTGACAATTTATTAATCATCGATGGGAGTAGATGGCCCAATAGGTTAGTGGTAACAACTTTGATTGTATAAGTGACACTAATCCTGTTAAGATTGCTGAAGAGTATCAACTAGGTAAGAATTTCAGAATTATTTGCCATGAATTCATTGGCTCCATTGTTTTTGAATGATGATCAATTTTAAAAAGCTGTATAGAAAAAGGACAAAATTTGAAGTAGGGAAATATGAATTTGTCTTCTTAATTCTTTTGATAGTCCCATGTGTTTAATAACTTAATCACCATCTTATTCCCCCCCCCATATCATAGATTTTATCTTTTCGTACATATTATGTGATTTATATTGATTTAATCTTTTGTATCTGTCATTTCTTATTCTGTTTATGATTATCGCTAAACCTAAACTGTGATTTTTTAATCTTTTCTTTAATATTCGTCAATTCATTTGTTTTATAAACAACTTTAGTAATAATCATCTATCATTTTACTTTTTATCTGCTATGATTAAATGACAATATGTTATTGTTGTTTTCATTTCTTTTAGTGTATTCAGTTGTAACCAATTGACAGAAGAATTCATGAAATAATATGAATTTACAAATTGACATGTTCTAGACACTATTTTTCTCACTATGATCATTGTCTATTTAATTAAATTAAATAGCAATTTAGTAATGAAGATTAATAGTTATTGGATTAAACAGGGTCTATTTGTTGAGTAACTTATTTGGTAGAAATAATATCGCCAACCTTGAATACATAAAATAATCATCACTATTGGGTTTCTATAACTTATGTAAAGAGTTTGTGAATTCAAACTAAAACTCACGTTCATAGTCATTTAATCGTTCATCCAAGTATGAACTTATAAGACTTGGCAGCCAAGGTACATCAATCAGTCCAAGTTGAATAAACCCATGAAAATCAGTTTGAAAACTGACTTTCACGGATGGTGCAGAATTGGAACAGGTCATGCTTAATTCTCCTGAATTGTCTTTCTTAGAAAATGGCTTGGTTCGTAGCAAAGATTGACCTTTAGAAAATCGTCCTGGTGATTTTTTCTTGTCTGCATCTTTAGACATGACATTATTGTCAAGAGTAGATTCCTTACCAGCTGAAAATCCCGATATAACAACTGGAAGACTGGATAAAGTAGGTTGAGACATTGTTTGACGTTGATCAGTAGTGATACGTAAGGCAAGAGAAGGTAGAATAAACAATAATTCACCTTCATTTGGTGGCTTTAATGGATTGGAACGAACAGATACACTAGGTCGTTCTTCTTTTGATATAACTTTGTTGATAGTTGATGTTTCACTGGTTTTATTAGTAGGACGATTAGTATCACCGGGATTTGCGGAGTCACCATCATCTTCATTGACCGGAACAAGCATATCACGTGAGGGTTTTGAAGAATTCAGTACATTAAATACAGGCAACGACGTGTCTTGGCTACTAATACGTGTAAAACATATTGGGAATTGTGCCACTAAAAAAATGCACAGTAGTAAAAAGTAAATTTATGAATGATCTTCTGGAAAACAACTCTCAACTGTAATTACAAATTCGATAAGAAAATAAACATTAACTAGTACGTACAAAACTAAATTTATACAACTGTAAGAGATTTTTTGAATTTATATTGAATTTTATTACTGACTGATATTGTCAGCTAGAACATCACTACCGAAAACCAGAACGTGATAGACAACAGCTAAGTCCTAGTTTGAAATATTGCAACAGTCTGAACTTAAATAAAGTTTTAAGTTTGATTCTCTCTCGTTTATTCATTTGTAGACTTGGTAGAATTTCAATGTTTTATCAGTAAAATAATATCATTCATTTGTATATAAAAGTTTCAGATCAGTTTAATTACAAGAGGAATTCAGAAGATTATTATTATTATTATTATTATTATTATTTCGTTTTTTGCATAATTCCATTAATAATTTACTTTCTTTAATATCCAAAGAGTAAACATAGGGTGTTATAAGTCTAATAACTTTTCCTTGTTTCGGAAATTATCACGTTGTAATTATTATGTGACGCAATACCGAAACATTGGTTGTATTTCCTTTGGAATTGGATTACTCATAATAAGTTGTAAACTATCTACAATATTGAACGTAAGAACAGACTCAAAAACAAACAATCAAAATAGCAAACAAAAAACCCGACTACTTCCACTTACATTTTATTATAGAATTGAGACCTGATGGATTACTATGTCGAGCGAAGTTGATGACTAGGAATTTTGGTAAAAAAAGAAGATAAAAAAACAAGTAATCAAAGGCATGTCTGTTAGTTATGAGACTGGATTTAAATGTTAACATTACAGGAACTAATATAAAATGAAATGCTTAATGATTTAATAATTTCGATTGAAAGGTTTATTAGAGATCAGTTTAATTTATCGACGGTTTTCATCACATAATGACGTCAGTTGGGATATCTCAACAGAAAACAAAAGATTACAGAACAACAGTTGCACTAAGTTAAAAAATTTTAAGAATTCAGTTCCTGGAGGGGTTTGTAGATGTACAATGCTGAGGAATCTCATATACATACCTGTATTATCTGCACCACGAAAACAAAATTCAAACCACTCTTCAATAGTTGCCAATGGTAAATCCCGTAAATTCTGTGATTTTCCGCGTCTAACACGAAGGACATAGGCCATTTGAGGTTGAAATTCTGGGGGTGAGCCTAACTCAAAACTTAAAACTTGTCGTACATTTATCCATCCATCCCGTTCACTTCCATCAACAATTATTTCTTCACTCGATATAGGAATTTCTCGGTGAGCCTCAGTTTCAAAGCTACATGAAAAAGGAATGAAGAGAAATTCAAATTGAATAAAATGCCTCAAAGTAATATAGTACATTAGAAAAGTGTTGATGACAGAGATTTTTCATTAGGTATCTAGATAATAATCACTGATCGATTATCTCTTTAATTCTCCTTCAACATCCTACTTTTATACAGTGATAGCAAGCTTTTGAATAGATTTTTTCAGTGTCAAAACAGCTTTTATAGTTTAACCAACAACAATTTATTAAATACACAATTATGCATTAATTCGATTAGATTATCTATTACCGTATTAACTAAGTGAAAAACTTGTAATTTAAACTTTAATTTAAATGTGTTGATGTAAGGAGGCTAATGAGTGATACTTGATACTTGATTACTACCTAGAATTAAAAGAAAACATAGTTGCTTATATTCGTCACCAAGAAAAAAAGGTTCCCGTGTTAGAATATAATCTTTGTATGAAAAAAATATGCAGTATAAAGACTAACCTGACTGTTGGATGTTGGATATTGAATACAGCCCAGTCAGGCGCTGATCGGAAACTACCAGCAAAACAGGCCATTCCCAATGAATTTCCTGATAATTGAAATGAACCACTAAGCACTGGATTGTTGTATAAATAAGATTGTGTTCCAATAGACGACGATTTCCCTTTCATACTAGAAACTTTTAACCGTTCTTGTAAAAGTAATCTGAGGGCCTGATACATTATTTTTTGCCAATGACGTTGCAAAAGCTGATCAATTTCTTGATCAGCAATATTAACAGATTTATCTTTACATAAACGTGATGAACAAATACTTCCTGTATGATTTGAAGAACGGAGTTGTCCAGCACTCATTGAAAACATACCAAAACGACCAACTTGTCCAATCAATGATAAACGACCTTCTCGAACTTGTTCTTGAAAATAATCACGAACTTTATGAATAGATCTTATAAGATCTGGAGTAGTGCTACGAACAATCGCTGCCTAGAAAATATCAATAAAAATACTTTTTGAAAATATCTGCAAGCTTTCTCTAAATTAGTCGAAATATATATCGGTCAATGAGTATTGAACATGACACATGAATAGAGATTTAATCAAACAAATGAAACTCAACAGTGAGAATGTTCCATCCAAGATTTATGATAGATTTTCGACAAGATTACTTTTTGGTTAGAAAGTAGTGGGTTAATTTCAATTGAGATCATTTTGAAAATAAAACAAGAGATTGTTAGTTTGTTAAGCGTAGACTTTCTATTAAGTACTGTCGATAGATTGGAATTGTTTCTGAATGCAGTACAAATGTTTGAAGTTTTTCATGTCAACTCCTTACTTAATGAATGAAAACTCGCTACATTACGCTTAATAATGCATTAATAGTATGACAAATAACAATGAACAATAGTTCTCTTACATCTAGAATTTCGAAAGTTTTCAGTTGGAAAATAAACAACTACTTTACTTAAAAACGAATGCAAGAGTAACATCATCAATAGTCAGTCATTTTTCTTTCAGTATAATAACAGAGATGATAAATCTTTGCATTCAATTCATATCAAAATACAACGACAAACCCTTATTAGTCTTGTAACCTTTTTTAAAATTTGTGCTATTGTTTGCAATAAATCATGTTTGTTATCAATTTCTTTAACTACTCAACTCATTAAGTGAGTAGTTTGTTCACTAATCATTATTTGATTACCAATAAATTTTAATTGCATGAGCAATTAGAAAAGATTCATATAACAATGCGTTTTGATAACGTACCTGCGCTTGATCCCAATTAATTTCCCCAACAATTCGAATAAATACCGGTAATGAGCCAAGAACATCATTTGTTTCACTGTTGATCGTTAAAGACGAATATTGATCTTGTTTTGTGGAAGTGCTTAATTTAGAATGCTTAGTTGAATTCAACCATTGTTGAATGACATCTTTTAAACACCATTCATCATAAAGTGTTAGGTCTAGAGAGTTTACTCTGAATAATAGAATATTTGTGTTCATATATTCTATACGTATTTGAAAACCACCAACTTTTGCTGCCAAACAATGTTGAGGATCGTGTGAAGGATCATTGTCTATACGAACTTAAATACAAAAAAGAAAAATGACTATTACCACTATATGTTACTGAGCAAAAAGAATAATTTTTTTCTCTCTGCACTTTAACAAACTATGGGATGAACTAAATAATTACTTGAAAATACATGATTCAACGATCGATATGAAAGACATCATTGGAAATAAGTTAGATTATAGGTGTAATTACTAGGCTCAGTACAGATTATCTTGCTCAAAGATTTACAACGAAGAAAAATCCTGTTCAGTACATAAGACACGAGTCTGTATTATTATGATATAACCACGACACCTGATAATCACAGGTAAAAAACATTATTTTGATCCGAAAAATATTATTGATCAATATGAAAGTGAAACCTAACTGAGCAGCCAGTATATTCAATTATTATTAGCTTTGTTCAATATTATATTTTTGGTACAAAATAGAATTTTCAGCACAAAGTATTTCTGTTTCTTACTTCTTGGTCGATCCTGACGGTAAATCATGAGTGGTCGCCAGTTGAAAGTTAGCAGACTAGTAAATTGACATCTCAATAATAACATTCAAAGGAGATGTAGAAGCATTGTGGTCTATTTAGCAGCAATCTAGCTGAATATACACACCTTATTTGGAAATCTAATGTTGAAGAACTTCTCACCGATCAACTTTCAAATTCATGAAAAAACTATAATAATTAGCATATGAAACTTTACCTGAATTACATCCAAATAGTAATGTAAACATGATTCTTTGATGTAAAGTAAATCAAGGCATAACACAAAAAATCTTACGTTGAGTCGCCAGATCAACTAGGCCAAATTCACCGCCTACTCCACCACCTTCACTAATAAATTGACTATTGGCCAAGCCAGCAGTTAATAAAGTGTTTTTACGGCCTGATGAATTCACAGAGATATGACCTTCGCAAAATGACTGGTCTACAATAAGTCTAAAATAATTAAAACAAACTGTAGACATTATGGTATATTCTAAAAAAGAGATGCTACAAGAGTGATCGACACACGAAAAAGAGATGATTACAGTATGCACAACAGTTGACTGACTTTTGGTTTCCAGTAGTTCTCCCTCACTACACATATATATGTTCAAGTTCCAGAATGTTATGGATCAGTGAATTATTCGACACAACGCTTTTAAGATGCAATATCTATCACTTTAACCTTTTGGTTTTCACCCAAGATAATTACACTTTACAATTTAATATTGGAAAGTAAAACAAATACTCAATCATAATTAGACATTTTCTAAGTAACGTAACAAGTAAAAACTTCAAACACATAAACACAACATAACAACAGGTTAATTGAGAAGTGTATTGTTACAGTCTAAAATATAAACATGAAGAGTATTACAACAGGTTGAGTGTGTTTTAAATATTTATGCGTGAAAATTTTTTTATTATTACAAGGCTCAATGCATTAACGTCAGTATTGACTCGTATGAGCCAGGTGTGGTAATCAGTGGAGTTCAACCGCATCAGAAAGTTATCCACCGGGGGTAAAAGAAGATGGTCGTACAGTATTGTGGACTGATTGAAGCTAGAATTCTACATCACTAGATCCCGAGCCAGTGGTGTAGAGGTTAAGAACTTGCATGCGAGATCGAAGGTCCCCAGTGGTATGGACTGTTGGGTAAATCGTTGCTACGATAAAGCAGCTATGCTTCGTAGTTTTTAAAAGTGGTTAGGCTAATATCACTTAGTGATTTATATTATGAAAATTCTACAATCTCCATAACCCCCCCTCATACTAAAATTTAATACTTGTCAAAAGTAATACCTACTCTAATTAAACTATCAGATTTAAAGAAAACATAAAAACAACATACCGTGTTAAACCCATAGCGCTACCCATGTATAAATTTAAATCAAATTTTTTCAAGTGTACGCAGAAAATAGTTAATGCATTCCATGAAGCTACTCGTAAACTAGTATTACGACTTCCACTAGCTCCACGTTCACCTACAAGTGTAGTTAATTTTGACGTTGGATCTGGTGATGTACTAACTGTAGGCGCTTTAGGCTCTTCATCGCTTTTATCATTTGTCGATATGCATGGACCGATTGTTGTAGCACGTGTTGCATCTGACTTTTTATGACTCAGATTTTCTCTCAAGAAGGTTGTTTTTGATGTTAAATTTTTTTTATTCTTATCTAATGGTTGTTCGGTTTCTGCAAAAAATAACCAATATATTTCATAAAAATAATTAGAAATTGATAAAAACAATCAATATGTTGTAAGCTCCTAAACAATTATTGAAAATGTTATGTCAGTAAAGTCAATGCAAGCAACCAACAAAGACAAGTAATTAAAATTGTATTAAAAAAAGGAAATAGTAAGGAGCAAATAAATGAAAATAGAAGTAGTTTTCATCTTTAAAAAAGCAAACTTGAGATTCTTGAAAATATAATAACCCCTATAGTTTTACTAAATAGCTCATACAAAAGAACAGGAAATCCAATAACATGAACAGAAATATTTCTGTATAATATGTGATAATAAACACTGGTATGGTCAAATAAACAGGTACATAGTGATTGTTTAAATCTATCTATCAGTGTATATGAGACATTTAAAATATTTTTACATAACATTTAACTACCTCCATAAATTATCAAATACCAATACAAATATGTTCTCATGTGGATTTAAAGAATAAGTTGACAATATTAATATCAATGAAGTCTAAATATCGTTGCCAAACACATAGTTGAAACAAGTCATAAGATTGGTCCCAACACGGCTTTTGCAGTGTTTGATAAAAGTGTAAAAGGACGTATACTAAGGTTTACTGAAGCCTAAAGCATAAGAAAATCCAGCCCCCCTTTGTGTATTCAAAAACAGTTTGTTCTCACTTTAAACCTACCCTAGTAATATTAATTTATTATCCAGAGTAATGAGGATTCAAATTGTTTTCACATTATTTTCTTTATTATTCTTGTCTCCTCTTACCACACATTTGTCTAGTTGACCTTTTATTTTCATATATAAATGTTCCTAACAAATATATGTGATCAGATTGTTCGAAATGTATTGCCCTAAGATATATATAGTTCTAATAATCTTCGTTTTCCTATTACACTGTCGAAATTCATCAAAGGGACTAACTACTTAGGATTTACGACCTTAGTGACATACATGTTTTGTACAACTAACGCTTTTGATAGTTTAAGTTCAATAATTAAATAATTTGAAATAAAACTTATGTCTATAAATATTACAATATAAATAAATAACCTGATTTAATAAATCAAATATTGACTCATGTAAGTAACAATTTTTACTTGATCTTGTACACACTTGATTACAGATTCTAAACTCAGGAATACCTATTTTAAGTTTGAGCAGCCGGTTAGTATTATTAACCTTAACCCATACAGGATAATCCGAAGTTACATGAATGGATTTATACGTCATAAATCAGTCTGCAGACAATTCAGTAGGAATGTTAATGTGATAAAAAGATGGGTCAAATTGGACCGTTTACAGAATTAATATACAAATTATATATATATATATATATATATATATATATAACAGAAATAATGGTAAAATAGAAAACAATGAATAGATAAGTAAATATAAACGAACCTGTACTAAGGTTTATCAATCCACTTTGTAGAGGCATTTCTAAACTTCCTGAAGTTTCCTGTTTTGTATCTAAATTATCATTGGATAATGTACTTCCCAACTTTGTATCTGATTGTTCATTTTGTGTCTTGGTGGCTTTCATTGTTTCATCTTGATCATAAGACTGAGTGGTGATATTAACTAGAAGGAAAGAAAACATCACATTTATATTATTTTTCATATAAAATGATTATTCTAGGGAAAAACTGACATGATAATCTTACAGATAGAAGAATGAACGTTCGGTATTTGAAGCTTTTAGAACATACAAAAGATCCAGTTTATAATTGCTGTATATTTTGTTTTTGGTCTGGCGAGCACCTCGCAGTGTAGTTGAGCAAAGGTATACTTAAAACTGCTAACAGCTCGATTTCAGCTCATTTAGTACAGACGGGTCATACAGTCAACATGGAACAATCATTTGCAATAATATATCGTGTTAGCAGCAATCTGTCTACATCCGTCAGAATGAGAATCCTTCAGACAGCTGGAGAAATAGCTATTCGGATCAAAAAGCCAAAGCTGTGTGTTCAAAAGAAATATGCTCAACCACCTACTTTTGGACTAATGAGTTAATAATCATTCTTTTAATATGGTGAAGTAATTTCATTAATGTTCATTTTCATAGCTTAAACTTATCTTATTCGTGCATCCTATTATTATTATTATATCACCAGCCAACGTTTTCGAGAAATTTACTTATTCCTACCTAATTCGCATTATTCTACATATTAAGTAATTTCTGACTTATAATTATATTATTCTCTCTCTCATACCACGTTAACACTTCCCATTAGTTACCTAAACATTAACGATTTGATTTGATTTTACATGACAGACAATCCTTGATTCACATGTTATAATTTTAAATGATGTACTTGGCCAATTTTATGGATTAGTAATTTAGATATATGATAAATGATGATAATTAATTGAAAAAGGATATTCTTTGTTGATATATCTGTGTTTTACTATATATTCACTTAAATAGCAAGTATCATAAATATTTATCACAATAATTTACTGAGATAGAAGTTTCAATATTGTTTGTTGGGATATTTCACTAAGGTTCATTTTGTAACTGGAATTATAGGGACTAACTGTGTTACCACTAACTCTCCCTCTAGTACAATGTTCGACTGAAGGGTTCAGCGTAATCAGAAGTAGGCTGTAAAACATTTATGTTATTTAAAAACTGACTATATAATAATGATTGGTAAACGAAATGTATGTAAATTTATATGTAACCTAGTGGCCGAAAATAGATCTGTACTAAAGAAATGAACTTTTACTGCACACATACACAAATATTAACAATAACCATTCACCTATGGAATATGGGTATATATATTCCACGTTCAGTAACAATACTTGTGTGATACCTGATCAGTCTACTTAACTAATTAAACCAAAGTAAGTAGTAAAGCGAGATTCACACTTGGGACTTATTGATTGAAGTCTACGTGTTTTAATTACTAAGCCACCATTGTACAAAGTAGATAGTATTAGTTTGGTTAGTAGTCCACATAAAAAATGACTGATTTGTCTTCCATAAGACTATTTAGTATGTAGCTTTTTAAAATACTTTATAAAATTAGAAGGTTAATTATATAATCTGGTAGGGTAAAAGAAAACCTGTAATAAAATAAGACACAGAAAAGAAAGTTACCACAATATGTTTAGACTTTTCAATACTTCAGATTACATTATAATTATAAGAATTATAACCTATTAATTTAGGCTATGTATAAGCTAACCTGTTTCAATTAATTCATCATTGCCTAGAAATAAACGACGAGCCAGACTACTACGATACCATGAATTATAAATATCTAAAATTTCTAATGTTCGACGAGTATCACAAGTGAATTCAGCTATACCAATATCAAAAATACCTAGAACAAAAAAAGTATAATACATACATTATTACCAATTCAACTAAATCCATTTTAATTATTTTGAGAGAAAAACAAAGAAAAATGCACTCACTAGCAGAAAAGGCAAGCATTGATATTCTAACATAAATTCTATATAAAAAATATCCAAATTAAATTCTCATGAAAACTAAATAATTTCTTTAAATAGGTAAAAATGATGAATCACTTGAGTAATTTAGATCAACCCGTGATTTCAACTGTAAAAAAAACTACAAATTCATTTGCTGAGATTTCACAAATACATTCTTCCTCCTTAATGTCTTACATCAAACTGGAGCCCAAATACTGTGAGACTAATCGTTCAGAATTAGACGAATGTTCTATAAATTAACAATTATTTCAGCGAAATGGAATTAGATAAAAAAGAAATCATTAAATCATAACGTAGATTCAATTCAGTACATAAAATTAATCAGTATTGTGAAAATTAGGAGAAATATTAACCATACTAAGCATAGTAGCAGAATCGGTAATCATCTAAAAATAAATGTGATACGTGGCTCTACAAAATATTGGGCTCTGATTGGATAAAAGGTTTCCCAGAGTTTTCAGGGCCCCTCTGGACCTGTTTGTGGAATACTTTAAGTCTCCCCAACATTATTCACTGCACTTCTATTGATAATCTACAAATGACATTTTCCCTCAGCACCCATCACGTGTACATACAGACGACCAACTATTACCGGAAATCCTAAATCGTTCAGCGGTTAAATCACGTCTTTCCAAAGAATTTACCCGTATGTCTTTCACATACAACATTCGTTTTTTTCATAAACTTGATGACGCCTGTACGCCAGGATACCATCCATATATCTTTTCGGAATATTATTTATTCATATAGAACATTTGAATGTGAGATATGTTGATTTAATGATTTACACTTATAGGTGATTAATAAATTTAACCAACTAGCTCTATACCATACAGAATAGGTATGATTATTTAATTATTCACTAACAATGATCAAAAACAATTAATCTGTTGATCGAATTAATGTGACTGTGATAGATGAAAAGTGTGAATATATATATATATATATATATATATATATATATATATATATATATATATATATTCTTTAAATCACAATCAAAGTAACTAACGAAATAAACGGATCAATAATAAAGAGAACAAAAATATAAGTGTACCTGAAATACATAAATTTCGATGTAATCCAAAATTATCAACCGATTGTACAGAGACCATTGTTTCTCTAGCACTATTAACTGTTGAACTGAAAGGTTTTTTGTTAGATTCTGGTGGTACACTAATAGAATTAGACTCATTTACAGCTGTATTCGGATTCACTTGCACAACTTTTGCTTCTACTGTGCGTGAAAGATGACATTGTATATCTTTCACGAGTATTGTAAGAGAATCACATGGTCTAGCATCTCCCCATGAACTGCTTCCTGATCTTATGGAAGATGATTCACCATAAGGATGAAATATTGATATGCGAAACTCTACAAATCGACGAAATAAGAGAAAGAAACAATTAACAAGTACACACCATAATAAATTTAGAAGACATTTAGTTATTGTCTGTGTCAACATACTAAGACATTTCTAATCACTTAATTGTATTTATTAATCATTCACTTATAAAACACACAAGACGCTTGGTACAATATGCCACGAAGAAATGAATCTTGTGTTATGAAATGACTAGTGTGAAGAATTAAAGAGAAATCCATGGGGCAAAATACAAGATTTAGAAGAGTATTAAAGAATATACATAACAGAGAAAATATATTTCATGCATGTTAAAGACCTATCCTATTTTACAAAAAATTGAAACATTATTACAGCAGTATTGTCACCAGCTTCTATAGTCAGTCATGACACTCAAGCTCCCTAACAAATGAATAATGGTATGTTGGTAAGTGATAAAATTTACTAAAACAACTCTTCACTTTACAACGGCATGACAAATTAATGACCTTTGCACTTCTAGGAATTGATCACAAACCCAAAAGAGATTCTAGGATGATAAACTCAAAAGCTGTCTGAAGCTCATATTCTTGAGGTAGCAAGACTTATGGGTTTCTATATTTACTATGCCAAAAAACAGGTTGATAGCCTTCGACAGTATTTATGTGATTTCGCCATTATATGTAATAAAATCTTCATAAACAACGGTGCATAAGCACAGGGTTACTAAACATTTTCAGTCTTGATATAAAAAATTTGGCAAGTAAAATCCAGAACTGGTCCTACAGATTTATTTTATAAAAAAATTCATGGTCGGATCACCATTACAACAGCATTAAGAGTAACTAACACTGAAGTAAACTATGCTAATTTCATCAAACGTAGATTGAATACAATATATAGTCAGATTAAAACAAAACTAATGGAAAGTTGTCTTTCTTTAAAAAAATTATTTTTTACATGTTTGTTTGACTTTATTGACTTACGTATCCTGAAATTGGTAGAGGTATAGGTAGACCTCATGGAACGAAATTTCGTAGTAGTGATGTATTTGCTACTAGGTTATAAAATGTGTAGTTATTCGGTGGTTAAGGTGTTTTAGCCATAAAGACTCAAATTTGATTAACGCTCTACCTAGGTCTGTTTGGATAATCGAGTGGTATCACTAATCATTACATATGAGAAATGTCATTTGCAGTTAAGCAAATAAACTGGTACTTGGTGAATGACTGAATAATATTCAGTTTAGAAAATACAAAAACATAAAATCCGTTTCTTTAATAACTAAAAGGTTAACGCTATCACAAAGATTCATAAGTATAAGTTCAAAGTTAAATTTGATATATACACTTCACTATATACAAACTTTGGGTACTTAATTAATGCACCTTTTAAGATGGCAGTTATAGAAAGTCCACCGGCTGAAACTACATCACCAACTACTGGTTTCTGTTTCAATGTTACACTTGTATTATCCAACTGATTATCAGATTGAAGTGAAGCTGTAAAATGAAAAAAAAAGTAAAACAAGAAAGATAATGAATATATATGCAGAATGAATAATTATCAGTTCTGACTGCAAAAAATATAGGCGTAATAATAATATAAAATGTTTTAAAATAAGATTCAAACAATAGATTCCGACTTGTAAATGATGGCAAAACACTTAATGAGAGACTATTAAGTCATTTGAAACAATTGGATCTTCGTAAAGAATAAGCTGTTTTACCCAGCATTATGACAAAATATGGAATAACTCATTCTTTGAGAAGATATTCACTTAATAGGTGGATATATTTGAAAACAAACAGTTAAATGAGTATTTACTCGGCTTAATTAACTGATATAAACTTGAAAAAAGTCTTATTGAAACAACGTTGGTCAACTTATTTATAGGACGTTTTTATTATTATTAACTAACCTTGTTGCATGAGCAACAAAAATTAATTTTTGGTTTTCTCATTTTTCAAAGATATTATTAACTGTTGATGATGATTTTGAAAGCCGTAGTTCCTCCTGAACCATCGCCTAACTAGTGATCGAATTCTTGTAGTAAGTAAACAATGATCAGTGGAGTTCAATCCGTGTTGGGTGCAAAACAGTTATCCACTGCCAAAAATGAATGAAGAGTTGTGTAAGATAATGGATTGATTGAGATCAGATATTAACAACATTGGATACTGACTCAGTGGTCTAGGAATGAAGCGTTCGACGGTGGGACCGAAGGTCCTGGGTTCGAGTCCCACATGCAGGATCGTGGATAAGCACTATTGAGGAATCCCATACAGGGACGAAGCGTTCATCCAGTGCTCCTAGGTCTTTAATGGTGGTTTAGCATAGATCGACTCATGATTTCAAGTCTGAATATAATACAATGTCGACAAATCCACCTATAATTAATAATATATATATGATTCATTCATAGCAAGTTTTATGATCACTTTGAACTTCGGGAAAATGTTTTATTATTAAACCTAAGTAATGAAGCGTGCATATGTAATGTGATGTAATTTATTCCTTAGCTTTGGTTTGCATTTAAGTAACTGTACAAGTTTAGTCCTTTAAGTAGGAAGCCACTTGAGATGATAGAGGATTACACTTGATTTCGATTATACTTTACTATAAAAGATCAATCAATTGAAATAACTCATTAGAATTAAATTGTATTAGTAATTCATAGACAAACAAAAAGATAACTAAAACTTACTAAGATCGGATAATTTACGTGGTACACTATATTCAGTTCTATTTATAACTGAGTCAGGATCATCACGTTTAGTTGAAAAGACAGCGTCCAAAAATGGTAAAACCATTAAGCATTGCATTCGGGAAGTTGGCAAACAAAGAAATCTACAATTCGCACCAGAGAGCGAGAGAAAAAAAGAATTATACATTGTATGCGAATTGATAAACGTTAAACTTATGATAGGTTAATTAGTTGAAATAAGGAAAGATTACAATGTAGTGCATATAAATACTTCACACTTTGTGAAAAAAAATTTACATTTGTACAGAGTTTGAGTTAAAGTCTAATTATATTAAAGAAAATATTTGAACCAAATAATTTATATTATCACCAATAATTAATAGGAATCATCAGCATAACTTACAATAAATTATTAACCTATTAAAAACAATTTTGTACGATTGAAAAAAACTATTAGATAATGTTCACTGTACAGAGTGAATAAACGAACAGCACTAATAGAATTTTTGTTTGTCAAGCAATTTTTTAGGCACAAAATCCCATTAGATGGATAACTAATCTGCCCTGGTTTCAAGCTTTTCAGCAGAGCAACTTTTCAATTTTATACAAGATCAGAAGGTTATGAGCTGGATGAAGTTTATGTTCAACTATGACGAATACAGCTGAAATATTGGATGAATTTTTTTAAATTCGTGTAGCCAATATAACTGGATCCATAGATGTAGTAAAACTTGTATGAGTAAATAGAGAAGAAGAATTTACACAGTCTATGCTTATTTCTGCTAATTCGGATCCACATATAAAAAATTAAAGTGGACAGTAGGATTACTGGTATTTATAATATCCATCATCTAATGTAGGTATGAATCGTTCTATTTCAGGAATCTATGAAGGTGGTGAATTTTTTAAATAGGTTTCAACATACTTCTTATAAACATTATTCCTTGTAAAGAACTTTAAAAAAAACGATGACACTTTTCATTGGTGAATCGGAGATCAATATCAAGAAATATGGTGTGCGTATGAACTTCACTGTCTCGAAAATCTACCTTACCAAATTGTTTTATTAACTTGATGCTTTTTTTTATTGCACCAACAATATCCAAAACTGACGTTTTATATATTCAAGAATCTCAGTGATGTGATATGAAATGTTTGTGATATTCTACAACTTTTAAGTAAAATAGAACTCAAAGAACCAGTTTCAATAACAACAAAATATATAACTGTCCTTTCAACGAACTGAATTTCTCAAAATTTTTAAAACAATTTTTAACACGTTCAATTGTCTTAGTGACCTAACATCATAAAGATAGGTACCCTTTCAGAATATTCAACACTAACCGACGGTTGGAGAACCTTAATAAAATGAACACTTTCATTTAATCATTTAAGAAAATAAAGAGTTCATTCACTCAATCTGTCCTGTTGTAAATCAATGTAAGTAAATAAGTAAACACATACCGTATGGTAAACGGTTGAATATGAAGATGAACAATAGCGTGTACAGGGAATTTTTCGAAGAATATTTCATTACCAGAATCGGATGAAACGGAATCTTGAAAGAAAAAAACGAATTCCAATTAAATAAACTATAGAATTTAGCAGAAGATTCTAAAAAATTATAATGAAGGATGACAACAGAAAATAAATGACTTTAAAATTCACATAAGTTATAAAATACTAAACATCTAGAAGTAATTACCGAACATAATTGAAAAACGGAATTGTGTATGTGTGCACATGTGTTCACAAAAACAACTGTACGATGTTTTTAGTTGGTTACGCTAATTTTAATACATTCCTCGCTTTAAATTCGGTCAACAAAGTTTACAAGCGATAAAAATGCTAAATATGTTAGATAATAATACAACCAAACAATAAATATTTAGAAAAGAACTTAAGGAATATAACTTTTTTCACGTAGGATATAATTGGAAATAAAACATAGGACAAACTTACCAACTTCCGAATTCCAGTCAGATATAAGTGGCAAATTTTCGATAGCTTGTTCAAGAAAATCAAGTAATGCCGGCTGAACAATTAATTCCTGTTAAAAAAGAGAGAGAGAGATGACTGAAAAGCCGATGAATTAAAACAATGACAGGAAGAAATGAAATGTTTGTCTATTCTTAATTACAATTAAGTCTATAAAAGCATTTTAACCACTAATCTATAATTTTTTAATGAAGAGAATTATGTAAGTTTAAGATGTTATACAGAGATTAATTTGTATTCATCACAAACTGGTCTCAGTTAAGATCAACGTGGGAACCAAATAGCATTACACAGCTGTTTTGTTTTCATATGGAACTTCTCTTCAGTGCATACATGATGACATTGTGAACAGGATAAACAAACATATAATATAAGAATGAAATTTAAAAAAATTGAATGCTTCATTTAGAAGAAAATGTATACCTAAAGATGAACATGAAATTATGGATGTACGGTAGTGTGATTCCAACAGGAACTAAGAATTGTAATACATAACGAGACTTGACATAGCAGAAAACAAAATCGTAGAAATGTTAGAACTTAAGATTCCAAGGAAACCTTTCAACTAAAAAGAAACTAAAATTTTTTGACTAAAAAAAGGAAAAGAAACTTACATTTGGTAATTTTTGCAAGAAACAGGAAATATATAAATCAGCTTGTTTTCTTATACTTCGAGGAATAGAATCGTCTTTATTCCCTGTATTTTGTCCAGTTCTAGACTGAGTAGTTGATTTTGATGAAAGAACATTTAGAGAGAACATTTTTGAGTTAACAGGAGGGTCACTATATGAACCAGGTATAACTGTATTGCATCCGGGCAGAAAGTCTAATTCAGTCATAGAATTATAATGAAGCTAAATTTTACGAAAAAAAGAAACATGAAATCTCGGTATTATTGTTAAGTTAAAGAATATAAAATGTTACTGACAAATGGTAGACTTTAAAAATGCCTAACGAAAAACCTACATGAAGTTTTTATTGTCTACCTATAACACATTATCAGTATATTACTTCAAAAGAAAGTAATTGGTTAATTGTTGTTCATAAATTTATGGACCGTTTTTTTGAATGTTTGTTCTTATTGTTTAAGCCATGAAGAAATGAACACAGAAAGAAAATTGTTAAAACAACAGTTCTATGTAAGTCTGAGATTCTTTAGTAGTAAGTAATATACACTTAAATAAGAAAAAGTTTTATGTAAAGAGGAAATATACAGAAATCTATAAAGAATGGATGAATGTGAAATGTTTAAAAAAGGTATCCCGTGTGTCTACTATGAATAAATACGACGGAAATTTATGCACACTGCGTAGCTATCAAAATGCTCAAAGAATATAGAATTAATATCAGATGGGTCTTGTGGAGATTGTAGTAATTTCAATGGTTAAGATCATAAGTCAGTTAAAGCTAGACCACCATGGAAAACCTGGAAGCACTGGACGGCCGTTTCGTCCTATCATGCGCTGCTGAGGAGTCCCATAATAGAACGAAACGGCCGTCCAGTGCTTCCAGGTTTTCCATGGTGTTCTAGCTTCAACTGACTCATGATCTTAACCATTGGAATATAGAACTGTAAAGGTATGATTTGCGATAAACACTTTATACTTTACAAAGTGTCAATCAAGTCTATAACTCATTTTTATATGGCTAAAACAAAATTAAAACTTACACTAACGTCCACAGCAGGCAAATAAAATATACTGATATCATTAGGGACTATTTGAAAATCTTGTAACAGTTGATGCCTATAACGCTCCAAGTATCCAGGAAGTAAATCACTGTAAGATAACCTATAACCAGATTCAATGTGAGTTGGTGAAAATGCACAAGGAGTTTGACTATGAGTTTCTGGAGATAGGACTTTCATAGTATTTGAAATATTGAATGGGTTTATTCCTATTCCTGTGTGAAAGACAGAGGTTGATACATGTTTACCACTATTATCATCAGGCATAAATTTTGAAGGAAGCCGAGGATGAAGAACACAACAACCAGAATCAATATGAATTTGAAGATCTAATTCTAACTGAAGCTTTGGTTCTTCTTCTTGAGTATTTATAGGTTTAGTAGGATTTTTCTCTTTATCTAAAACCTGTTCCACAGAAGGATGAAACTCAAGGTTTTTTTCATCATGAAGAATGTGCATTTGACGTGGTGGAGGTGTTGGTGGTCTAATAGTAGACGACCTCATATGATCTACATTAGTTTCACCAGTTTGCATCGTATGTGATGTGTATAGTGAATCTGTATTATCACTTTCGATATTATTCAATTCATCAGCATCATGATACAGGTCGTCATCAACATCCAGACTACCACATGGATCACCCCAATCATCTATAAAATTAAAAAAGTATTGATTTATAAAACATGTTACATGATATCACGAATATGACAAAAGGTATGCGAGCGTTGAGAAGACATAAAAATAGTAATATTCATATTTATTTTTGTGGGAAATTAACGTTATTTAATTAGTAAAACAGTTAACACTGTGGTCATAAATTCGAACACCGCCCAAACAAATTTGGTTTCAGCAACCGAGTAGTATCACTGGCTGTACATACAACTGAAGTGTGACTAAAATTCAAGTACAAAAAAGAGACTTACATTGACTACTAAAATAGCCATGAATGGCAAGTTATCAACACATTGAACGGAATATTCATTTTTACTCTAACCGGTGAAATTCATTATGCATTATGAGAATATTGAAAAATGTCTAAATATTTTCAGTGATATGATTTGACAGAAGGATTTACTTTTGTATTTGGAGGATAATGATTTTTAGAAATTAAAAATTTCATTTGTGAAATGACTCTTCTACAGGCCAGGGAATAATTGACGTTATTTTAAAAAAGATAATGTGAATTTTAAAGTAGCAATTTGGATGCATCTTACAGTAGGTTTTCTATTATACGAATTCTAATAACTTGGTGAAATATCTCGAGCCCATAAAACAACTGACTATATATATATATATATATATATATAACCTTCCATCATTATGCACTAGTATGTTGATTAACTTCATTTTATACTTAATTCAGACAAGCGCTTTGCAAATTTGTAGGCGTTTCATATAGATCAGATTACGTGATAATATCTTGTACCGAATTTGATTTTTTTTTGTTGTCAGTGCGTTTTATATCACTTAATTGGTTGGTACCTTTTGCCAGTCGTTTTATGGGTTTGAGATATTTCACCAAGTAATGAGAATTCGTGTAATAGACAACCTACTGTAAGATGCATCCAAATTGCTACTTTAAATTTCACATTATCTTTTTTTAAAATAACGTCAATTATTCACTGGCCTGTAGAAGAGTCATTTCACAAATGAAATTTTCAATTTCTAAAAATCATTATAGTGTGGTTTTCAAAAGGTAAGCTAATATTTGAGAAATATTACAAAGTATATAAATGATTTCCTTTGAAAAAGAAATAAGTGCAAACAATTTCAAGTACAATTAAATACAAATTTGACGAAAAAACCCGTTTAGCAAATTGTATATCATCAATACATCTATAGTTTGAATGTAACAATCAAACTAAGAGAAAAATAGTATATTTAGTAATATTTAGGATAATACTGTTGAAATATATGAATACCAACATTAACAACGTACACAAACGTAAAGACAAATACTTGTGACCCGTAAGTTTATGAATCTGAAGTCTGAAATCAATAATCCTAAATTACAAGAGGACAATAACGGGTAGAATATAGGAAAGGAGAAGAAGTGATTTAGTGATCATTTCTAATGAATAACACTACCGCGATTCGATTACACTTATTCACTAATTCATATGGGTAATGAGCGATCAGTAAAAACGTTATAATTCTGACTCCTTAGTGTGTTCAACTTAAGATATATCACAGACTAAACATTTGTAGTTTTTTGTTGGTGGACAAGAATTACCTAAAAAGTATGAAAATAACATAACAGTTACATACCACTGCATTCATCGGAAATTCGACTGTTAGACTGTCGATTATTTAAATCAGACTTTGTATTGATGCTGTTCGTCATGTTATTATTAGCTAAAATATTCTTTGGGAAAGGCACATTGGAACTAGTATCCTCTGCATCAAAATAAACCGAATCGATCTTGGCAATATGACTAGAAGATGCACCGGGTTCGTTACTGAATCTTCGACGTCGTACAACAATAGGTTCTTGAGTCACTTTTGTATGATCTCCACCTTGAGTTCGAATTGGAAGAAAATCTTCTGTAACTGAAGAAGATGGGCGTAAACATGTTTTGGTTGATTTTCTATCAGTTGGTATGGATTGAGAACCAATAGGTTGTGTGTTAACAAAGTTGTATTCATTTGTGTAGTGATCAGCGTGTAACGAATTATGTGTGCGTAATGTTAAACCTCTAGTCTAAAACGAACAAAAGAAATATTCATTATAATTACATATGATCATATCAACAAATGAAATGAGTGTTAGTAAAGAAATATGGAAATCAGTTGTTTCATACCACAAAAAGTTAATTAATAGACAAGAAACATGACCTCAATTACCTATAATCCTAAAGATAAATCCCTTATAATCGTCACTGCATTTTCAGTGGAGTTCACCATTTTAGGCCGAGGGCGAACAAAACAAATCATAAAGCTCAACAGAAACACGATTAATACAAAACTTACCATACCTTTCAAATTTGAACGGTAAGTAAACTTCATTAGGCAACTAACTTTTAAAAAACATTTGTTAACATATAGACTAAAGTTCATAGTTTACATTATGGACTGATTTCAGCTATACAAACATTAAAAGCCTGGAAGCACTGGGAGGTCGTTTCATCCTAGCAGGGAACTCCTTCCTACTAGTGCTCACCCACGACCTGCATTCTGGAGCGTGAACACTTAGACATGAGACCACTGAGCCAGTATCCGGTAATGTACTAATGGACAATACAACAGTGACTTAAGCTTCGAAATACTTAATAATTGTCACTGCCAAAATCCTATTATTTACAATTTCACTGTTATCATGTAGATTATATACTGCATGTTATATTTACGCAGAATGATATGAAAAATAAATCAGTCACATATGAAACAGTTTTTTTAGTTTTCCCTCTTAGTGATCGTAGCTAAATAAACCTATTGGTTAAATAAAAAAAACACAAACAATTACATTATGATAAGTATAAAATGAGGACAAGTAAACCGTAGCGCATCACGGCAACCAAGTTCACGTTCATGGACTAACTATAAACCATTTAGAGTGTGCAACTGCTCTTGAACCTCTTACATAGTGTAGTAAAACTTTGTAATTTAAAGACTAATGAGTCTTAAATATGCTCTTATTGTTTAGACGAATGACGAACGGATCACATAGTATAGGACACACGTACCAAATCTAAAAAACCGAAGTAAAAAATTAAAGTACTTTAGATGGATTATGTACATTAATCTACTGTATTTCAGATAATCGGACGAGGAATTTAGATAAGGAAAACTAAAGTTGGTGAAAATGATTTGTAGTTCAGGTGGATGATTTTGATAGAATTCCGTTCTCTAATCTGGATAGTTTGGTCGTGGAACTTTTGGTTTTTCTCCTGTCATTTCGTTCTTTGATTTCTATAGGATCGATTGAGGTCATTTTCCTGGTTTGTGTGCTACACAATTAAAACGGATCCAATAATCTAACTGTAAAAAGCTAGGAATCAGTTATTTAAGAATACGATCAATGCCCCTCAATAAATGGCCTGTCGTTTCGTAATTATATTTTTAAATATAATTATTAAAATGTGAACAGAAAATTTAAACTAACCCCATGTCCAGTTTTTTTCTTTCGAAGTGTATTCCATTTTTGACGTTTAAAAGCTTGTAAATCTGATAAATCTAATTTATGCTTATGAAATTCCATACTTCCAAATTGTGAATGATCCATAGGATTTTTCACATTAGACTCTTTAGGCCTATTAATCAAAAATGTTTTATAAAAAAAGATAGGAAAAACAACTTTGAAATTGTGTAATAAACACACTGACCTTTGAAATTATAGAACTTCATAAAAATATACTGACAAAACGGTTCACCTTAAATGAAAATCATTTTACTCTGTTTAAGTCTACAGTTTTGCATCTGTCGAAATTTTCAAAATGTTTATTTAAAAAAAAAGTGAAGTAGTTTCATGTAGATCGTTGTATTTTCTAAACGTTATTCTTACAAATTGATATGACATTATATAGTCAACCAAGCTAAGAAATAAACAATACCTACTCGATAACACTAGTAGAAAATTACAAATATCAAGGTTTGTTCGTAGTTCATTTGGTGATTGCTTTGTTTAAACCTGTTAAAGGATCAGATTTGGTTATCATGAACAAATATGAATATAAAAACAAGAAGTTATCCATCCTCAGTGATGAAAGTAAATTTATGCCTGATGTCGAATTTGAAGATATTAGTAAACTAGAGGAAAGCATCAACACAAACCTATTGAAACTGTTACACGAATGTTATTGATAATGAAGAATTTTATTTTCTAAAATATGTGGGTTCTGAATATGCTCATTTTCATGGACTACATAAAATTCAGAAATCAAACATTCCTTTACGCACAATTTTATCAATGTGTCAGTCATTTACAAATAACAGGGCTAAGCAGTTGACAGCATTGTTGGATCCTATCCGAAGGAGTTTATGTAAGTATTCTCTGAAGGATTCTTTTGAATTCAATGACAACTTGGGAGATATTAATATCAAAGGGAAGACAATGTGTTCTTTTGACGTGAATTCCTTGTTCATAATTGTATCTTTAAAAAAGACCATTGGTATTTCACATAACTATATATGTTCGAACGGCCTTACATTACATGTCTCTTTAAAAATTCATAAAGATTTGTTACTATTTTGCACTGACAAAATACAGTTCACATTTGAAGGTGAGTAGTTTCGCCAGATCGACTGGGTTGCTATGGTTAGTCCATTAGACCGTTATTAGCAGTTGTGTTTATGGCACAGGTAGAAACCTAACTAAAGGCTTAATCAAAAACATGTCCCTTTATAAGAGATATGTGGATGACATCTCAGTTATCTGTAAAAGAAAGATGGATATGAATTGTTTATTAGACAAACTTAACACTTCAAAACCACACCAGTTTCATGTGAAGAGGGAAAGAACGGTCAGCTTACTTTCTTAGACATACTTATAGACAGAAGAGAATATAGTTCAGTCAAGTGATGCATTTTTAGAAAGCCAACTTGAACAGAACAGTAACTCAGTTATAATAGTTATCACCCAGTTCAAAACGAATGGAGTTTGATAAGGGGCATTATTTAACAGGGCTGATCGTATTTACACAAACGACGGTATTGATAAACAAGTCAGGTTGTTGAACAAAACGTTAGTGGAAAATGATTATCCTCGATAGAAAGGTCATAGTATAATGAGACCTACTATATCTTCGGCACAAAAAAGCCTGTTTATATAACCTTACTGTTCAGAAGTGAGTCAAATAACCTTTAATTGAAACAAAGGCCTAAATCAGTTTTTAACAAAATGTACTACGTAGCAAAGGTCATTATCGAAGAAAAAACAAGATTCATGCTTCACAAAAAACCTAAAAGGCACGAAAATGATTACGTCACATCCCCATGTGTTTGCCAATTTAATTGTATATGTAGCTACACAGACATAGGGAAAAGAAGTCATGATTTGCAAATTAGGGAGCGTGAACATGCAAAAACAAACAAAATCCAATGTCCTAATAAGATTACATGATGAATGTCCATTGTTCTCTACTGGCCATAAAATTAATTTTAACTCAGCTTTTGTGGTTTTGTACAGAAAAGTTCAAAGACGTATACTGAGGTTTATTGAATCCTTAAACATACGAAAATTTAAACCCCTTTAACCCTGAACATGATCTGATAATGTTAGTCTATTCTCCATTGTTTTTGTGGATTATTTTCTTGACTATTATTTTTGTTTCTTCTTACCATCCATTTGTCTAGTTGACCTTATTTTGCTCTTGGTATATAAATGTCTTTAACAAGTATATTATATATGAACAGATTGTTCTAAATGTATTGAGGTAACATAACACATAGATCTGACAAAATTCGTTTTATTATTATACTGTCCAAATTTGTCTGAGGGACTGATTGCTCTAATTAAATCGACTGCTTTGAGACAAATTTACCAAAATTTATTTTGTACTTACATTACTAAATATCGATAACGATCTAATGAGGCAATATCCACATCTCTAGTGAGCTTTTTGGTCGAAACAGCAGACACTACAGATGAACGCTTTTCCATAGAGCATGGAAGTGTTTGGTGTTCATTTTCGCTCGACAGAATCACTTGGTTTTCATGTGCGTTTACCATGTCACGTGACTGACGTTCTTCATCTCCCTCTTCTTCTTCTTCACCAGAGGTTGGTAATAAGGGCGCTGCGTCATTATAACCCGTCATTCTTGTAAGGATGGTAAACAACGCTTTTAAACGTCGACCAATATTATCATCCAGGTGAAAATCTAGACCACGCATCTGCCAGTTAATGGCTATATGCCACTGCCCACGTTTTTCTAGTAACAGCAATAAAAATTAATTGAATAGTTAGCATTAATTTACTGATGAAATATTTAATAAATAAGATCATAACAGAACAAATGAGAGAAAACTGAAAATATTCATCAATAAAAACGAGTAGGAATATTCGTTAGTTTTCAACTTCAGATTTCTAATATAAAACTGTGAAATAGTGGGCACTATTATAAAAACTCAATCATTTTAGTGTAATGTAATGCTCATCTTCATTTAACCACATAGGTAAAGGAATATTAGGAAGGGGCAAATGGATTAATCACTGAATAGTGACCAACGTTATATTTGTCCAATATTTAGTGCTATTGAAATTTCATCACTCAAGTTGTATGTTTTGATATCAAATGGTTGGAAGTCAGCCTTATAAAGCTTAGTGGTGATGTCTCAGACTAAAAAACTAGGCGATCCAAGCTTGGTTCTGTTAAGAAACGTCAGTTCCCCCAAAATCGCAGACAAGTTCAAAAACCGAGGTCCAGGGTTTCCTATCAATTAATAAACACGAATGAATAGTGTTTAATTTATCACCTTCTTTTCACTGAATATTGTCTAACAGATTTCTCATAGAGAGAACAACGGTTAAAATAACGAAAACGAAGAATCATACACAAAATTGTAAGTGAATAATGAAGTATAATCAACTAATTCATTCATCAGGTACTTGGGTATGAGCCGCACACTAAGTATGAGGGCTAATGATACTACGTGGCTGAAAAAAACAAAATAGGTTATGTAGCGTTCGAACATGAGACTTAGGGACTGGAAGGAAAACACGCTTTAACCCTCAAGCCACCTATCCATAGATGTCTTCTTGAGAAAAACCGAAGTTTAACACTATTGGTAATTAGATTAACAATACGAAATATTACTGGTGTAAACAATGAATCTTTTAAATATAATACCTTTTAGTAAAGCTTGAAATATATTCATTGAAACATCGTGAAGTGCATTAGCACAAAGAACATTGAAAACGTATAATTACAACTGTGAGAGAAAATGGAAACAATGGTTTTCATATGGATAAGAAAAACGTTACTGCGGCAAACAAACGTTTTATTCAATCACATAAAAGTTGATAATTCTTAGCTAGGGAGAGATTCAGGAAGTTTAAACGTGTTATTTTTTCTAAATGACTCAACGATGGAATCAGATTCAATTTATTGATCACGAGATTGGAATTAAAAGCAGCACACCAACAGACAGTGCATAGTTAGGTAAGAGATGTATCTCACGGATAAGTCACAAGTACAGAGACTCATTTTGATAAAGAAAATACAAATTACTGTATCCTTAGGTTAGTACAGAAAATCTATGCTTATCTGAGCATTATTAGTTGTAAATCATAGATGATAGAAGAAGATAAGTAATAAAAAGAAAACAAAGAAATGAACACACTATGAAAGCACGTTTTATCAACACTACATACAAAATGAAAGCAAAGTAGAACACTTTGAAAAGATATCTTTCTTTTTTGTTATCTCAACACAAGTAAATTGTCAATAAAATATTAATGGTCGCTTATTTACCTAGATCTCTCCAGCACACATTAAATGTTCCACTAGGAACAACACACGCATTCAATATGACAACGTAACGTTTTCCTTTCACATCGATTGTTGATCGTTTTTTGTCTGGTTTCCAATCATCTGAACCAACATTAAATTCATCGTCGAAACGTAAACAGAAATCTATTTTTAATAAAAATTTAGATAACGTACATTATGATTTTCAGCAATCAAAATAAGAATTCAATATATAAGCGTAAAAATACAATATAAATAAAGTGGATAGATAAAACAATATGACGGTATTGTTCCGACATTATTGTAGTCACATTACAGCAAAGATAACAAAATATGAAAGACGGGATCTTGAAAAATAATAAATATATATATATCTCACCAGTAAATTCTCCTTGGCTAACAAGAGAATCTTGATAACATGCAGAAATACGACTTTTATCCAATGTTAAAACTAAGGCAGTTCGTGAATCCGACTTCAAACTTTGTGACGGTAACTAGTAAATTAAAAGGAGAATAGAATAGTAAAAAAAAGTTATTAAGTCACAAACAGTAAAATGAATATGTTGCAATAACATAACAAATAGCTCTGATAATCTTTGTTTTCTTATTACATTATCTAAATTTATTTAAGGGACTAATTGTTTTAAATATAATTTTATTTAACTGTTCAACTGAATAACTTGATAAAATTGTATAGGATGAAAAATAATACTACAATAATGTAGAAAAATAAATTATATACCTAACTTGTAATGTTTTCATGATTAAACAATAAATCCTACAACAACACAATAGTGCATTGTTTACTAGAATCTGTTTTATATTCAACATATTCACCGTTGTTGAACTCAATATTAAATCTTCAGAAAAATATCTTTCTATTACTCAATTTTAATTAGCACAAATTTCTTTTGAAAATGAAACATTCAAAAGTACATCAAATTAAACTAAGGTCAATTTTATGAATAAACAACTGTATACAACTTTACATAACAAGATGAATAATTTTCGAAAATTAAATAGTGTTAAGCAATTGAAAAATACTTTAATTTATTAGATTGTTGTACGAGTGACGTGTTAGTTTGAGATAAGTACAACCCTTCAATAACAAAGGTGATAAATGAATTTTGTACCAAATTCTACTCTGTGAAAACTATCCAAAACTTACATCAACATAAGAAAAGGTGTTCCCAATTGAAACTAAAAGTCTTAGTCTAGTGAGCGAAGACTTGTTAAAAGAAGACAAATTTATTGTATTCAGATTTGTAAAATATGAAAACTATACATTGAATACATCATTTGCACAACTTCCTTGAATTGTCTCTTACAAGCCCGATTGTTCTTTCATTCCTGTTGCTACTCCGACAGCTTATGCTTTTCTTTTTTTATATTTCTCTTTTGTCAGAAAAAAAATCCCACTTCCAAATCTTGGTACATAATGCAAATATATGTCCTTATAAGTAGCACACATTACACTAGATTCGATCCCTAGTGCGGGAGTTGTAACACTAGGACGAAACAGTTATCCAATGCATTCATATTTTCACTGGTGGTCCGATTGAGATCAATTAGTGATTTGAACTATTTTAGGTAGTATCGAATAACAGATCGAGCTATGTATATATGTATATTACGAGCGAAGTTAACAGGAAATTAGAGTACGTAACTGACCCAGGTAAAATAAAACTGATGTTGTTACCTTAATCAAAGTTATTACCAACACTTTTTAAGCAAGGATCTATAAGGTACAACATATCTCTGAATTATAACTAAACAAGAAATGATGAATAAATTACACATAACCAATAGACGTTTGTCAAACACCGATATATCTTGATAGATCCTATGATAAAATAGAAAAAAACCCAACTAAATGACTAACAAAGGTTTATTTCCTAGTATCAAATACTTTTTTGGCTAACGTTAACTAGTGATGAACATCAATTAGAAATCACATAAATACTATCTAAATGAAATACCTTTTTTATAATAAATTTATAGACGGACCTGTTAGTAATTAAATGAAGTCTAACAAAATTGATGTTATGATGTGAAACGTGTGTGTTATGGTAAACATAGAAATATTTTGAAAAGTCGCCAAATAATTTTACAATTGTGATATGAAAAATAAGTTAACAGAACTCATTATGTATGGATCCAAATGTGTAAACAAACCTTGACCATATGAATAGGCAAACAAACACCAAGATCTTCAATGCTAAGTTGAAGGAATAAGGTTGACGATGTTTTATTATTATTGTTAGCATTATTATTCGACAGATTAGGTTCGATTGAGACATCCGGTATTTCATTCACACTTGTTGCAGATGGATGAACAGATGAATGTGGTGGAGCAGAAGATATGGATATATATTGAGAATGATCTTTTGGTGAATATCCAGTAGGATAATGTACACTATGAATAAAATTTGAACGAACTGGAATTGATTCTGTGACGTCTTCAGGAGGCATCTGAAGATATATGATATCAAAATGAAATGTATATGATAAATAAGAGTAATATTTGTATCGGATAACACGACTAAACAGTGTCAATATATATATTCAAGAAATAAAATTTTAAATATACAATCAGTGAAAATAAAGATGACAACCTTTTTGGTCGCGCAATTTCGTGGTAGACACTAACACCATTGGACGCCGGTTCAGTGATCTAATTGGTTAAGCGCCTGGCGCGAGACCGACAGGTCCTGGGTTCGAATCTCGCAGGGAGCGGGATCGTGGATGCACACTGCTGAATAGTCCCATACTAGGACGAAACGGCCGTCTAGTGCTTCCAGGTTTCCAACGGTGGTCTAACATCAATTGCTTCATGATCTCAGTCAAAAACTTAACAATCTCCACATCCCTTATACTGATTTTTCAATAAATGACTAAAGCAAGTCAACCATTCAATGAACAGATATTTCAAAATATTATAATTTGTCTGTCAAATCTAACTGCTGAAAGGATGAATAATAAATGTTAGTTATCAGAAGATGGCTTCAGAGAGTTGAAGACCAGATTATTTGTTTATATTATAGAAGAACTGATAATTGAAATAATAATAATAATAATAATAATAATAATAATAATAGTGCGATTTTATTAATAAGATAAGAAAGAAATATACTTATGTATAATAGTCTTAATCGAAGCTGATATCATTGTAATAGGAAAGAAACACACATTCATTATTCAATAACAATAATAATGGTAATAATAATAGTAACAAATGTATATCAGTAAAATGATAATTAACTATTGATGAGAAAGATGTATCAAGATATATCAATATCATTTAGCAATCTTGCAAATATGTTTGTCAATTTGCTGATAATTATTCATTTAGGAAATCTTAATTTGATTTTTTTTTAGTGAAAAAAGTATCATTTAGCTATAAGGTTAAATCAATCCAGAAACCGATGATTACATATACTCAATTTATAATGAACTCACAAAGAATGAATCTGAAATAATACAAACTTACCATAGATGCTAAATGTTCTATGTGTTCATTCCATTTAGCAAATTCATCTTTGTACACCATCCACATCATTATACCTGAATAAATCGTTAAATAAAAATAATAGTAATGGCATTGATAATAATAATAATATTGAAATATATAAAATTGTATCTGAAAATAATTAAAGTTCATTGTAATATTCTACATTAATATAATGATGCCAAAATCACAATCCATCAGTAAGACCGTGAAATATTAATTTAGAAAAATACTACTGAATTATTAATTAACTGTTATAATAACTTCCTATCTGTTATAAATTGTAAATATCAATTGAATATAATCTGTTCTGTATTTACAAAAGTTATTCATTACTTTAAAAATATTATGTACAGAAAATATAAATATTTTTTAGCTCATTTATAATTCAGTAAATAATTTCAATAGTTGCTTAGGAATCAATAACTTTTTAAAAAGTACATTATGATGATGATGACGACAACAGCAACTGCTACGTTTGAAAAGACTGTGATATCACCCAAAACTGGCGAATAGAACGAAAGTCAGCGACACAAAAACAAGACATGCTAAATTATCCCATTGCACTCCAGCCCTAATAACTTAACGGAGAAGGTCGGGTTCATTCGAGGAGAATGTATATTCCATAAGCAGTCGGAAACGCGATCAACAAGTACACAGCTCATGCGTATATATACAGTACAATAATGCCTTTGAAAAACATTACAAAATAGCGTACTAGAAGAGGGAACGAACCAATGACATTTAAGGTCCTTCCAAGTGGAAAATACAAACTGAAAGTTAAAGTGGGCGCGAAAACAAGAAACTCAAATTTTCAAAGTAAAATGACAAAAAACGAGATGTTCACCAATTGATTTCTGGGGATCTACCATCCTAAACAGGAACAAAAATAACTCTAACATGTTTCTTTCAGTCAAATGTAATGATAAATTTCTGAAACAAAATACAAAATATTATTTTAGAATAAAATTGGACATAATTTTAATGCGGAATCGTCATAAACAGAAGTTTTGTTAATCTAGAGGGAACACGCAAACATCAGTGTATTTTAAAATAAAGGATTATTGTTGACTACTTAAGCCTATAAAACTAAATAGGAATAAATATCAACTTCCGCTTCCATTCCCCAACATCAGTTTCTTTATTTTGTAAATTATATTTGTAGTTTAATTTGAGAAAGATGATCCTAAACGAGAATCATTTTATTTTTATGCATGAATTCTTCATTTTAAAGTTGAAACAAGCACACAAGAAATAAATTATACTTTTACAAGTCTTGAGTAGTTTGATTGGTAAAATGGTAATGTTTTCGAAGGTGTCGAAACAATTTATATAGATGACAAGCGGACTGTACCCAAAACCTTTATTAATAGTCCAAAAGCCGGTATTCGTATTAACTGTTCCAATGTATCAGTCTCTCAACATGTTACAAGATGATAGACTTAAATAAACCTACCAAGACTTTTCTGCTGAAACATTTTCTGAAATATAGAACTTGAACAACTCAACAGATCATTACTTTCTATAGTTTTCAGTTTGAAAAGGTATATCAGGTTGCATATGCAAAACACGACAATAGACAGGGGGAATATAATTATCGTCATAAGTTACAAAGTACTCATGTAATATATTACACATAGCCTCCAATCTTTCACCACCTAACCTGTATTCTCGTTTGACCTTCAAGTGTTGTGCCAACGCCGTGTTTTCAATAATGTGAAACACTTCACTCTGTCTGACAACTGTAGCAATTTCGACGCCACGTCCTGTTACACGCTACTTACAAACAGTGCCATCCACCTCGTCGGTATTTACGTGATGATTATGGTTAATGGTTGCATGATCTGAGGTGAGATTTTACAAAATTTAGGGTATTAATGCAAATTCATTTACTCTTCATCCTCCCAAAGTTCTTGAGTTTCAAAGGTTGTCTTTTCTTCATTTTTTTTATTTCATCTTTTTTGTTTAGTTCCACTAACATTACTGCTACCACCATATCAACTACACTGATATTCGTTTTATGAATCTTATCTTTCCTCTCTCGGTTTTATATGATAATATAGACTGATGCACATTCGCATCAGATACTATGCTAAAATTAACTGTTTGATGTCATGTAATTTAGGAATAAATCAAAACCCAGTATTAAAAGCCTTCTTAAAATTAATATCCCCGATTAATCCGATGTATAAGAAAGCGTAAAATCGAATTTTTCGTTACAAAACATTTACATCAGAACTAAGCGAACAATACTGATTGAAAGAAATACTAACAATAACAACTATTGCACATTTCCACAAACCCGTTAAACCCGATGAGTATAGTGATAATCGATTTATCAGGTATAAACACAATTAAATTTCAGGAAAAAATTATACATACCACGATCAAGTGTGAAAGGTTTAAGCCAAACAATGGGTCGGTTTAAAGAAATAAGAAACGCATCTTGTTCACCATGACTTCTACTGTTTGAAGTAGACAATTCTACACTTTGATTTGGTGAAAATTTTTCATCGGCTAGTAAAGAACGTAAAGCGATTGACGTACGGAAAAACGCAACATTTTGGAAATCAGGACTAAGTGCATGGAATGTATCCTGTAAAAATTTAAAGCACAGGAAAAATTTTTTGAAAAAATATGCAGCTGTAAAAAACAGTAAAAATAGGATTTATTATAGATGGAGTTGCAATATGATAACTAAGATATAATATGTAGAAACTCAGTTTATTTGGTGTTATGTGGAGCTATAAACAATCTGTAGAAAGTCTTAGACGTACTCATACTCTTTAAATGGTTAATGTCTCTCTTTCAGAATATCAAATTGCATCTTCCATTTAAAAAAAAACATTGTTATTTAGTTATTTGAACAGCTACTTTTTATAATGGTTAGTGAAATTGATTAATAAACAATGTCCTGAAATTTTATTAGATTCTCTCGATATAGTTATCTTAATTGTTATTTGTTTGACTAAGTTATAAAAGTAAAAGGATAGTGCTATAATGTATTTAACTCACCTGATCAAAATAGCCTAGATCTAAACCAATATTGGCTATAGTAGCATATATGAAAAGAGAATTATGACCTGTAATAAAGAAAAATAAGAGTGAAATGTGCATAACAGGAATAATAATCAAGAAAAATTAATGAAATTGATCTATATGCAAGTTAAATATATTTTTACCTTGCAAAGTACAGATTTATTGCATAAGTTAGTGGTTAACTGAACTCAGTAACCCAATGAATAACGCGTCAACATTTGGAGTGAAAGGTATTGAGTTTAAGTCTAAGTGTAATCATCAACATTGAGCTGTAGGTACAACTAGGTGACGAGTCCCAAACAGGATGAAACGTATGTCCTGGATAACACTACTTGGCACTATTTAACTTTAACGAGAAAGTTTGGTTATAATGGAAGTAAGTAGGTGATAAGAGCAGAATACACATATATCCATATTGATCGGTTTCAGTTTCTAACACCAGCAGACATTTATAAAATAGTGATTATATTAACATCTTAATTCCCCCTGGATAAATATTATATATATATATATATCATATAGTTTAATTCATTGCGAATTATTATTTATTTTTCATCATTGCACTCGAATACTGTCTCGCATTATATTCTAAGTACGCCCTGGATGCATGGAGGTTTCTAGAAGATCGGTTGCTAAAGCGTTTTGAAGATTCTCCTTAATTGATTTATGACAGTTAACAACTAATTCAAATGGGTAAGTTCTTGGGACATTGAAAATTAGTTAATTATGAACCTACTGGTTACAAGTATATCATCAGAAAGCATGATATTCCACATACTTATATGTTCATAAATACATCAACAAATAGGTATTTGAGATAAAGTAGCTTGACATAATACTTACTACTATTTAATCCTATCGAAGATTTCCTTCCAGATTCAAAGAAATAACTAGATGTAGTATTAGGACGAATATTTAAATTTGATGGTCTTTTTTGAGATAAATCATTTGGTTTATTGTTGGATGAATAAAATGTCGATACATTCTGATGATTCAATAAATGTGTTTGTGATACACGATTGGTCAATTCAACTTCAATTTTTCTAGCCTCGAGTTTAATTGCACCATTTTTTGTAGATGCTAACAGTTGAATTTCTTTCATTCGAATTCTATAAGAAGGGAAAGAATATTATTAAAAACAGAGAAGGAAGCATTTTAAATGGGCGATAAATAAGATTGTCAACTGATACAAAATAAATCCGACAAGTAGATTATAAAATCAGCCACATAATAAATATTTGTAGATTTGCTTTTTAAAGAACATTATTATGAGAGAAAACGCTTTGAATCGGAAGCTTGGTGTATCGATGTTAGTCTACAAATAGTCAGTAGCATTCTATCAGTTGCCAAATGTGTAGGAAACTTGGAGTCCCTTTAGCATGTTAGAAGAAATGTAGTGTATTTTTGGTGAATCCGTTCAGAAAACCAACATAAGATTGATGAAAAAGGAGATGTCGTCGTTCCAAAAGGCAACAAGTGTTTTCCTTGTTTAGCCTCATTTAAAATTAGTCAGAAGAACTAAATGTCCCAAAGATTATAAAACCTACGATTTTAAAATTATTTTAATAGTTAACAAACGAACTCTGGGACCTGAAATTCTTACAAGTAACCAGTAATAGATAAGCACATATTGATGGTTTGGCAGAATCCACTATCGATCATTGATATTTAATTAAGAAGACGTTTAACAAATAAAAAGTCGTCAAGGCCTAAGTCATTTGTTGATAAAGACTTTCAGATAATCGCTCTAACCACTTGTCCAGAAATCAAATCATTGATCTTCCGAGAATATTTGAACTTCAGATATTTTGATATATTGATGACTGTTGTTTGGAAACGAACTATTACGGTTATCAAATCCCAATACTAATGATTAATTGAACATTCGTTATTTCGAAATCTCTCTATTGATATATATCAGTTTGAAAATAAGAATAAATCGCAAGCTATTTCGAATAATGTTATATGACCCTGAAGATTGTTACAGATTGTAGTACATTAGTCTTTCCTATAAATTACGTTGACTAAAAGACCCTCACAGTCAGTTCCAACCATTTATGATATGTACGTTTATGTATGTAGTTGATCTCGGTGTTGAGTAGAGGTAAATACTAAAATATGCTTGTAAAATGTAGTAATTTTCATCAATAGTTCTTATTGTCATATAATAGACACAATTATATAAGTGTATACAAATTGTGTTAGTTATCTACAACGTCGGTAGTTTTGAAGTGTTTCAGCGTTTGAAATACGTTCAAACATTTGTGATAAGATTCAGTGCTATTATCGTTTGAATTACAGTCAATTATATACATACAGTCAAATCATAAAGAGCTATATACATTTTCCGAATTTGCAGGTTAATATTAAACAATCCAGGGTAACAATTAAAGGAAATCTATTAATATTTCCCTGTCTAAATGTATTCGTATATGAGGATGTATAAGGATTTCAGGAGAATGTATACACGGGAGAAATATAACTGTTGACTGAAGTCGAAGCTTACAACAAAGACAAAAGAAACTACTCAAAATCTTATCATTATCATAATTCGAGAAAACTCGGAAATAGCTAATTAAGTAAAACGTTGAAGTTAATAAAAACGCAAATGCAAGATATATAAATTAAGTGTATATAACTGATAATAGAAATTTTTCTATATTAATAAAATACATAATAAATAACCAAGAACAACGATTGCTAATAGACAATACTTGATTGTAAATTTAGCTCTTCCACGTGCAGCACGTGATAAAAGCCAATCACCAGTTGGGATATTTTGAGTATTGGATGTACTTGAATGTGTAAAATCTTCTGCTTGACTCATCTGATTACATGTAAATCTTGAAATCGGTTTGCGCAGACGAGGTCGTTCTTCACCAGCCATTTTCTGTATAACCTCATTTATTTCCTAAATAACACAAAACAATGATACACTATTATTCTACAGAATTTGTAATACAGTGCGTTTAAAATATCATCGACTTTACGATAACAAGTTATACTTAACAAGTAATCTCAGATAATTTAAACAGAATCATTCTCCGTAATCATCTTACGCCTGTTACCCTTCGCGGAAGAGCGTAGGCCGAACACCATTATTCTCCACTTAACCCTATTCTGGACAATCCTTTCCAGTGGTTTCCAGTCACTATTCATCCTTTTCATATCTGCTTCCGATTCCGGACGCAGTGTAATATTTGGCCTCCCTCTTTCCGTTTTCCTTCAAAATTCCAAGTTAGAGCTTGTCTCGTGATTTTGTTTGATGATTTCCTCAATGTATGTCATATCAGCTTCCAACGTCTTTTCCTAATATACTCTTCAGTTGGAAGCTGGTTTGTCCTTTCGCACACTAGGTTGATGATGATGGTATTCGGTCAACGGACATTCACCATCTTGCTTAGATAATTGCTTAAAAATACTTGTACTTTTTAATAATTGTTGTGGTAGTTCTCCTAATTCCAACTGTCTTGACGTTCGTATTGAAGATTCTGAATTCAATAATGTTTGACAGTTGTTTTGAGTTCCATATGTTTTTCAATTATAGGGATGTTGTCCTTACTTTGCCAATCTTCGCATTTACGTCAGCACCGGATCTTCCGCGTTCATCGATTATGCTGTCCAGGTACGGGAAAGTTTCTACATCTTCCAGAGCTTTTGCATCAAGTGTGGTTAAGTTGATGTTCTCCCTGTTGTATTGAGTTTCTTGCTTTTTCTCTTTTGTATGTTGTAGCCTGCTGATGCATAGGCTGCTGCTACACTAGTTGTCTCCTATACATACTGTTGAACGTCTTCTCATGATCAATGCATTTGATGTAAAGTGACGAATTCCATCCGATTGATTGTCCAACGATGATCCATAGTGTCGCGATTTGGTCTGTGCACGACCGATCGTTATGGAATCCGGTCTGTTGATCTTGAAGTTTGGAGTTCACTAAATCTTTCATCTAGACCACTCTGTTGAAAACTTTTTCTAGTACTGACAGTAGTGCAATGCCTCTGTGGTTCTGACATTTACTCAGACCTCCTTATTTGGTGTTCTTCTTTCCAGTCTGTCGGCAGCTCTTCCACCCAAATCTTCCTGAATGGAACGTAGAGAATGTTTAAGGTTAATTCTGTCTGACTTTAGTGCTTGGGCTGGTATATTGTCAGCTCTTGCTGCTTTCCCATTGTTGATTTGTCTGATGACCAGCCATCCTGATTTCTTCGATCGTTGGTGTTGTGACATCTATATGGAGGTTTGTAGGTGTTGCTTCGATATCTGGTGAGTTCAGTATAGCTGGTCTATTCAAGAGTTCTTCAAAGTGTTATACCCATCTGTACCTCTGTCCTTGAATCTCAGTGATTGATTTGCCTTCTTTGTCCTTGACCGATCTCTGTGGTTTACCATATTACCCTGATACTTTCTTCATTGTGTCACACAGTTGTTTCACGTTTCCTTCTCTTGCAACTTTTTCAACTGTCGTCGCGGAATAAAGCATCAGTAAACATTGAATCCATGCTTATTAATCCCAACTAGAGAATGAAACAAGAAGTTAGATTCGAGAGCAATGAAACACTCTTGAAGTAAAGATAAGCTGATAGATTGTACAATACAGACTATAATATTATTATTATTTAAATTTTTACATAAAAGAGAACTGGTTAGTCCAATAATTTTTCAGGCGAATTTTTATTCGATTCAAAATATTTCATCTAAACCTCAGGGCTATCAGTAATTTAAAATGTAACTAGACAAAATTAAAGTTTAATAAATTAGCTAGTAACTGGAATTATTTTAAAGATACTACAAGATACTAATACAAATACAAATGATATTTTATTATAAACAGAATAATTATGTTTGTTACCTTCATGAATAACTTTACAACAACCATAATGTAGTTTAACATGTCAGTAGTTAAATTTTGCTCTAATGTATCAATTTGTATTTGAATATCCAAGTATAGGCCTTGTTCCGCTTCTAAACCATATGTGAGCATAGGCTCTTTTCGTTGACTACGAGCATAACGACCGCCTGATGAAACACGTTGAACAATCGAAGCCAAAATACGAGGAAAAGGTAATGAGATTGATGTTGGAAAGTTAGCTGGGGGGCGCTGAAATATGGAAATTTAACTATGTTATTAAGCTAAAAATTCGTATATTCAAAAATAAACTAGTCCCTTACTAAACATTTAAATGAAATAATACTACTATGAAGAATGAGAAAAGGTTAGTAACATCAATATAAATCACAAGTAAGCAAAAAAACGAGCAGAAGAAAAACTGAAAAATGGTTTATATCGCGAAGTGCTCAACCATTGGTAAAACAAGAGCACTGGGTAGTTGTACAAGCCAAATATGGAATTCCTCTGAAATGTGTATCTAAAATTCTACCTAGAGTCGAATCATGAATCTTTAGATATGGTAAAGAACGTCTTATCATTTCAGCTACTGCATTCGCATTCCACGATACACAACTACAATCCCAGTTTTTTTTTGTGCCAGCTAATTTTGATCACGAAATCATATCAACAAATAACCGAGATTAGATTTTAGAAACTCCTACAAATCAATTGCAAAAATCATGAATGAAATATGAATAAAGGCGAAAAAACTATTGCATATAAGCATTATCTGATTAACGTAGGACTGACCATAGACTTTAGGCTAAGTGAATGATCTGATATACTGATATCCACATAGCTACGTGATCCAACCTGACCAGTGACATATACAGGATCAATCTAAAATCAAATAAAAACAATAAGAATAATTGAGAAAAGTTATTGTAAACGAATTTTTCCTCAATTGGTCAAGAAAATAAATTTTAAGAAATTCACAATAATCCCAGAGAAGAAGTAAATCATGAAATTAAGAGTAGTCAACATGCACAACTTGCACAAATAACAAGAGTACTGATGCAGCTGAAACAATAAAAACAGAAGCGATAACTTACGTTTCCAAACATGAGTAAATAAACAGAATTACCCTAGTTTCTGAGAGGTTTAAGTACACATAAAATGACTATGTATAGCAAAATAATGTGAACAAGTAAGCAAGTATAGAGTTATGCAGTAACTGTTAGTTATATTTTTTGTGTTATATTAAACGATGGATTGGGTTTACAGAAAAAAAAGGATTCAGAAAGTTAATATTAGATATTATCTTACAATATAAACAATACAAAGATAACTATTTTTTTTGGAAATAACCATTAAACATTAAACATGTAATGATGACTTATTCATTTACGCACAAGTTCCAAACTGTAGATATACCTCAATAAGTTCAGTGTAGTACTATCATGAGCCCTTGAATTAACAACAAGTACAATATAAAGCTACATAACGTAGTGTATTTTTTAGACAAACAAGAAGTACTCTTTGGCATAAACAAAAAAAGCAAAAATATTCAACTATTTTATAAAAATTAATGAATAAAATATTTGATAGTAAATTTTAAACTAACATGATAAACAGCTTTCAATGTAGAATGCAATGCTACATTAACAGTTAAACCTTGTGAAACAGCTAAGAGATTAAATGACAACGGTGGTGATGATGGATTAATTTTGTTAGGAGTTTTTGCATTCAGTAAAATTTGTCCAGGTTCCATTGTTGTCAATGCTTGATATGATGATATTGATGATCGGAAATAATTTGATGGATCACTTGCTGTTGTAGCAGTAGTAGTTGTACTACATGTTGTTGGAGTTGTTGTCATACGAGATCCAGACGAACGCCTAATTATTGAGAAAATAAATAATTAAGTTCAACAAAATAAAATATGAAAATCTCCATATAAAAAGAAAAAATATTATAAAATTAAAATAAATACAAATATAAAATTACCAAGAATGAATTTGTGCATAACCAGTATTTGGATTTCTTAAAAGTTCATAAACAGTAGAAGAGATACGTTTAGCTTGACGTTGTACAACACTATGTAATCGTACAGGATGATGTGGTAAAGTGACCATTATTCTTCCAAGGCTTATAACACAAGCATTTTTTTCTGATTGTAAATTTCGACTACATGATAGCATGACATGCGAACGTCCAGCTTTTACACATACAACTTCCCTAAAGATGAAAGAGAATTGAGAAATTTTTTATAATCAGAATATGATATCTCGAAACTATTTATAAAGTGGATAACGATAAAAATCAAAGAATTGAATTAGCATCATGTTGATTGAACAATTCATAAAAATTCTTGAAGATTTGTTTGCAAGTGTTCAACTACTAAACAGTAAACAAATTCATCAGTAATACATAGTAAAATTTCCTAGAAAACACATACAAAAAGAAATTACTATGAAAAGTAAAAGTTGTAAAAAATACTTGGTGTACAACGAAATTACAAATGATATAGTGAGGTTACATTTAATTATTACTGGGGTTAATAAAAAAGATATTGTTGTCCAATCATTAAATCATTCACTAGGTGTATTTTCATGAACTTAATTTTTTGTCACATTATAAACGTGATGGCTGTTGATACTATTAGGTTGCTAAAACTGGAATCGTTGGAGAAGGATTTGATTCTGTAACTTAGTGTGACCGAAAGTCAAACTCCGTAATTACTGATCTACGGCTTCATATACTTGTAAATAAAATGAATTAGGAATCAGTAAGAAATGTCACAACAGAATGATAAGCGAAAAATTCATAATTAGCTTGTACAATAATTATATCACATTTTAATTTATTCTGGAAATAACTCACTGAATTTTTGATGGTGACTTTTCAGTTAATTGAATATTACTATCACTATAGTGTAAATTCGAACTGTGTGTTAAGAATTTTTCCGAGAAACTGCCTAAATGATAAACAATATAGAAAAGTTTAAAAAAAGGCAACGAAACCTTCATAGTGGTTAGTTAGTTAGTGAACAATTATTTAATGATAAAAGAAGAATAAATACGATGATAGTGATTACAATTTTTTTTTAGAAAAAGTGTTACATACATTTGCAGAAATAAAGTGACTAAACATTTAGTTAAAATACAGTTATTCTATAGTTGATCGACCACTGGATAACAATTACACATTAAATAGTATGGCTTGCTGACTTGAACACAAAGTATGTTAAGAATGATGGAAGCAGAGTCACTGAAAATCCACTTTCCTGTAACTAAACTGGTTTCATTATACAACACAAAAGGCTCGTTTAAACCAATCAAAGATGGATCAATATCTTTTTGATGTCACTTCCAGTTTTATTTAACAATTTACATATACACATGGTAGTAATTATATGGGAAGGACTGAGAGAACAGTCTTTACTAAATTTCCCAAACACGTCCCGAGAAACGATAGCATAAAAGGCGGAAATTTTTTAAAAGTTAGATTATAGGGTGCTTATTGGATAGTGAACATTTGTATAGCATCCAAACCCATTACGCGACCTAACTTTTTGAAAGGGGAGTGCAAAACAATCGGCAGCTCCATAAAGGAGCACTTCATCAGCTCTGACAACGTTGAGCCATAGGAGTCATCCTTCAAGACAATCTACACAGTCAAAAGAATAAGGTCAAAGAGAGGTCGTATTAAAAATTTCTGCACTGCTAAGGCATTGAGAATCCACTAATGCAAACCCGAACTCTGTGTTTATAAATAATACGTCCAACCTTTCATTCTTTCTTCACCCAAATTGCCTTCCCTGATGTGTTTTAATCTTGTTTCTGTCATAGGTAATGTTTTTTATAATCGTTACCAGTTATTATGATCTAACAAATTTTCAGGATTATTAATTAATTGTTATCATGACTTTTAAGCTTTCCAATTTTCCCTTATATCAATCATTTGTCAGATTTCTGATCCATCAATTATTTTTATTTTCCTATTCTTCTTTAACCTCTCGATCGTTACGCTTTGGTAGTTGAAATCTTGGATCATTTTATTATGTAATTTTTCACTTTTCTAAAGACCCATATATTTATCAAACAACTCTAAAAATAAATGTACAACTTGGGCAAATGATGTCATCGAAAAGGAAATCATCATTGCTGAATTATTTTTATCTTTACTTAATGTGATAAATTGGCTTACTTTAATTATTAACTAAATCCACTGAAAATCATATGCAAAAATAAACTTTATAATGGTAAATATGAATTGTGCTTCAAAAGACTAACCATGCCCCCGTGTTTGTTTAGTAAGTGTAAATGAACCATGAACATTTCTAACACCTGCATTCAAATTAAGTTCACTGAGCACAGCACTGACAGCCATTTGACGTATTTTCGCTGTAACAAATACAACAAGTGGTACACGTTCACCCCAAACCCATGGATAAGTAAATTGTTCTAAACCATGATTGGTTGTAGTTAGATGATTATCGTTTTTTGATGATGTATCAGACAAACCAATAAAAGGATATTTTGATGATTGATGATTAGATGCTGGAACTTTGAAAATATTCTGAAATTTATCGCCAATGACAACAGCAGAAGGGCGAGATAAAAATGCTTGTATACTAGGATTCCATGGATTTGTGAATAAAGACTTGTGATTTTGACTGTTAACTTCTTTAGATCCGATTAACTCATGATCTCTATCTGTTTCTTCATTTAAAACACGATATGTTACAGTGGGGAAAGTTTTCCTGCCGAATAGAATTCCCTTAAAAAGCAAACACAAATCGTAAATGAAGACAATTGGAAAACTAGAAGTTATTTTTACCCACTTACACAGATTAGTAATAATCTCAATAGTTATTTATAGTGTATAGAAAAAGCTTACATATAAGATGTGATATCTGTTGTCAAAGATTTATTTATACAGATTATATGGAAATGATTGCAAATGATATTGCCAGAAACAACAAGACTTGATAGGACATCAAATAAAATAAAAAGGAACTCTGTGAACACTGGTGAACAATGACGAGTTTCAATTTACTGGGATGAGGTTCATACAAATAAAGAGGCGAGGAAAAGGGCAAGCACTGATAAGGGCTATCATCAAAAAGGTGCAACTTAAAAAAAGGCGGATATCGAATGTAGGATAAAAAATTATAAGGGTGTGAAATTTAGTTGGTTTAATACCAGTCACTTTGCCTATACGACCAATTAAATACCCAGCTCTTTAAACATTCAATACTTTCAACGAATAGTGTAATTTTTGAAATTTAGTAATAATTTTTTTATTATTACCACGCCTGGTATGTTATCACATACATATCGAAAACTTAGTTACCTTGCCTAATAATTAGTATAAGGTTATATAGTAATGAGATTTAGTACATTTTTCTAGTTACTACTGAATGTTATTGTGTTATGATACTCACAACATACTTACTCTAAGCTACTGACTAACATATTTCCGTCTCATTTTTATGGTCGCCCATTCGCTCTGGTCCTTATGAGTAGATACACTGGAATGATGATATTACAGTAAACTATTGATGATTACAATGTATAACTACATGTTCTCACATGAAAATGAAATCTCACTACCTTTACCAAGGACGTTGTAACACTAGCAGCAAACATTCAGAAAAACTCCTTAAACGCATGGGATTTATTCGGGCTACTGTTACAATAAATGCCAGTTGAAACAATAATAGAGCTTAATATAATCAAAAAGAATAGGCTAAATTATTAGTAGACAGCCAAGATAAAAAGCAAAATAAAAGATAATGGAAATAAACAACTCATTTTCTTAGAGAGCTTGTTCGAATTAGTCACGACTTTTTATGATGAAAGCGTTTACTTTTATTCTAAAAAGGCAACATAGTGAAGAATTTCGCTGTAGGGTGTAAAAACATTAAAGCATAGGCACCAAACGATTAACGATAAGATTTATGGATACCTAGAAAGACACAGAAATAGAAGAGAAATTCATTAAATCAGTACCTTATTCATTGTAGGTGAATTTAGATTGAAAGTACTTGGGGGCCAATGATAGCTGCCAGATTGATCACTTTTAACATTACACGATTCTGACGTACATATAACATTATGGTCACGATCTTCTTCTGTGATAGTAGGCATAGCTCCACTTGGTACCGAAGTGAATATAGGCTGAAGTTAAAAATAGATTTTGTAAATATTAAAGAGCAATACTCAATCAATTTTTAAAACCAATGAACAGATTCTAAGGTTAAAATATTATAGTCATTAAACCATTTAAAAATAACCATCAGACATCCACATATGATATTGAACACGTACTCTGTTATCTGATTGTAAATATTGGAACAAGCAATTTTCACCGATCATACACAAAAGGTAGATTGGAATCTAGTGAGATGTACGACAAACAAGTGTCTTAAAGTAAAATAGTGTGAGCTATAAAATAAACAATTGTTTCCTTTGACAATGATGATAGTGAAAAATATTTCGCAACTGAAAGAAACGTTCCATTTTTTTCGCTTTCTGTGCTTTATTTATAAGAGTAAACACCGATGTACTAGTTCCCAATAGAATGAGACATCATTATAAAAGATGTGATGTACTTTAAGATCAATTAATCACTAGGAGTTATTTAGTTCAACTTCTATTATCTTTTAACATAATATTTGTCGTATATGATTTATGATGAAATTAAAGTATAACATTTTAAAATGATCTATGACAACTCACCTTACGAATAACAGTCTTTGTCTTAGGTACAGTAGAGTATAACTCAACATAATTCGCTAATCGTCTCCAACATGAAGGACCAAGATTACTAGGGGATCTTGGAGCATTCATTGACGACTCTTCAGATTGCGAAATTCGACTAGTAGGTATAGGTGAAAATCGCGGTGCGGTGGTAGTCATAATGTCATGTAAATTAGCTGGATTAGTAATAATCAGCAAATCTTTATCCGTACTAGAATTAGATGTATTCTCCCCAGAAGAACGATCATGTTCAAAAGTAAAAGAAGGGAATGGTTCTTCATTGTTGCTGAACCCTGGAAATAAATGGTTTACAATTAGATGTACGTACAGCCTAAAAGTTAGAAGTTAATGAAAGGGTAGTAACTGATACAGCCTAACCGGATAAAAGCTGTAGGTAACGAAACCTTTACATTTCAAATAATTCTATGAGGATCGTAAGAGAGAGAGAGGTATGTTAACCATAAGCGTAAAATGGAATACAGAGAACCTATATCAATCTAACAAAAGTTTTTTAATTGGAATAATATCGTTTTAAAAGAGATACTCTATACAAATCACTGAGTTTTTTTGTCAACTCGTTTATATGAAACAAGCTTTGATATAGATTCTGAATTTTAACGAGAAAACATAGCTAGTATAGTTGTGTAAAATTGAAAACAAAGAACATTAGATTTTAGATTAATAAGTTTAAAGATCAGAAAATTCTAACTTCAGTCATCGCGTGTGAGGTCTTGAGTGAATATTGACCAAAATTTCGAAGCTCCCTAATTTACGATGGTGTTTCAGTTTATCTTAAATATAAGATCGAAGTAAGTCTGAAAATGCAAAACCCACACAGGCACTATAGTTTAACAATAAATAGTTTTACATTAACCTATGGACGTTATTCATTCGCACAAGATTTCTTCTTAAAAATAGTGAAATATAGATTAATATATAGCATAACTATGAGAAGATCGAATAGAACGATAATTTAATTGATGTTATGAAGTAAACTTTTTATGATTTAGTAGGATAGAATGATAAGTGATAGACAAAACTTTATGATATGATGTTACCTAGTGGTGGCTACCGCATTATTGATTTAGGTTCCCAAATAATTAGAAGTTAATATTAAAGCTAGTAGCAGTGCTACCACCAGTGCATAACATGGTTATATAGAGAATATGAACACAAAATAAATACAACCAAATATCATAGACGATGGAAAGGAATTCGGCTAGCAGGTTACTTATTACCCTATCTAATTAAGACTTAACTGTTAGACTTAATCCTTAGGCATCGTATCAACTTGATTACTGACAAATATGCGCCGAAATTCTGTACTTAACAAAAATGATTTTGTTAGACTTTAAGTCTTTATGCATAGTATACTCACTCTCATATTTATTTTTGCTCTTTGAAGCTTCGCTTAGATTATTCGATCGTCCACTATCAATAGAGTCTTCACCACCAAAACGGACATAAGCGGAAGAGCGCGATCGAAACGTTCCATCGGTATCGTCTGATGAACCTGTAGATATATCGCAGTTAATAATCATGAATTAAAAAAGATATGGAAAAATGATTTCAAAATACATAATGAAATTGAGGTATCCAGCAGAAAGAGTTCAGTTTATTGGAGTGCATAAAAGCAAAATCTTGAGATAATATTTACGTGAAATAGAAGATCCATTGGATGAAGTGCTTAGCTTCAAACTATTGCATAAAAAAAGGACTGAAAACGGATCAGACAAAGGTGTATTTGCTTTATTAAAACCGAACGTTCGTAAGCACTCTTTTTGTCTTTCGGAAAGTAATATATTACTAGAGATGGTGTTATTTTTTAAGAAACAACAACTCTGCAATCTGAATTTTGTTGCCTTTAGACTTAAGGTCACTCAGTCAACTTGAACAGCATGGTACATGTTCCGGTAAATATTAGCCAGATAAAATAAATATACGATAGGTAATATTGATAGCTAAAACAAAATAACATCTAGAAGTCAATAAGTAGTGACTGTAAAAGAACAGCTACAGTGTTATATGTAAAAAAGTCGAAAATACAACAGTACCTTTAGAATCATGTTTCTGTGACCATACCACTGTTGGTGTTATGATAACTGGATTAACTGATTGATCATCACGTGACATATATTTACATGTATCTCTAGCACAATAAATCATTGTAACAAATTGATGAACAAGGCGTAACAAGGATAAATTGACATGTTGTCGAATAAAATCAATATGTAAAATGATATCCATTTTAGTAGTGGTTTGCATTTGACTCAAATGATTCGTTTTTTGTTTCTACAGGAGAAAGTGGGCAAAAACATTGTTCAGTTTGAACCGAAATAATGAAAATATGAAGATGAGTATCTTAACCATTTCCAGATTAAATGTTTGATAGTATTATTATTCAGCGAAAGCTAATTTTTAAAAACAGATCTCTTCATCATAGATACTCGAATAAACAATCAACTAGGTTGACAAGTGATTAAAAAGTAGGCCCGGACATTTATTTACTAATTGTGAGGGATTCATCAGTAAGGTGTACCAATTCTAACTGAAGAAATCCATTTACTCATTAGGTCGTAAACAGTGTCGTCACCTATCGTGGTACAGTGTAAGATGAGTTCGAGTCCCAAAGAAAGTATTAGTAACCTCAAACGTACCTTACTAACGAAACCAAAGACAAGAAATTCAGATTCATGACCTTCTGCAAATCGCTTCCAATCAGAGTAAATATTATTAGTGTTCTACGGTGCAGTGAATTATTCTGAATAATGTTGATGTGTAAAATCGCTTGAAACTACACTAACAATGATGTGAACATTCAACAATAAAAATAGTTTGGACTAAAAAGTAGCTCGATATGACCTAGATAGTACACCTCCTGAACTACGAAAAAGTAGAAAACATGGAGATAAGAAGTTCACCACTACAATATTTGGAATCGCATGACTATTAATTATAAAATAACAACAGTAAAAACCTCATTAGAGAATAAAATATGTGCTGACTTACATGAGATGTAAATGAGGCACCACTGTAGTCAACAATATCGCGTAATATCAAATGTGATGCAAAATTACAACATAAAAACGCTGATTGTCTTTGGAAAGATGTTTGCTGAGTAAATGAGCGATTAGTTGGTCGAGGGCTGTTAGGATCATTTATCTGCTCAGATACAGGATGCTTCGGTAAAGAATGAAAAATGGGATTACGAGCGGACGAAACAATTTCGATTTGAAATGTTTGTAGAAGACCATCAATGGAGAGAAAACCATCAAATTTCTTCATTAAGGTTGTGCGACGAATACCCTATAAATCAAGAGTAACTGCAGTATATATATAATCAATTGTGTAAAATAACTTACATTAATTTTTCCTTACATGCAGAAGGGATTCTGATTTCACAGCAAGCAAAGGTTGTTGTGTTCTACAACCTTGACCAAATGGCTAGTAATCAAATTAACTGTCGCTACAGAGTGAGCTTAAGTCTAGTCAGGTTGGTCAAAGCTGTAACACTAGCCGTTGTCAAACGAAAATTAAAGTGATAAATTCAATGACTTGAAGGAGCTGTAGTCATTTACTTATGCGAGTTAAACACTCACAAATACAATACAAAAAACATAAAAAATTCAAGAAAATCATGAACCGATCCAAGTTAGACCGCCATTGGGAACCTGAACGCCGTTTCGTCCTAGTTTGAGACTTTTCCGAAGTGTGCATACAAGATACTGCACATAGTAATCAAACCCAGGACCTTCGGTCTCGCATAATCTTAATCTTTAGACCACTAGGTCTGGGTTAGATTTATGAATACGGGGTTGCGACTACGCACTGCTGAAGAGTCCCAAACTAGGACGAAACGGTCACCCAGTGCTTCCACGTTTTCAAGAGTGATCTAAACTAGATTGGTGCATGGTTTCACTGAAATTCAACAATCTCTACAAACCCATAATGGAAATGAAAGGAATTATTCGAAAGTACAAATACAAATAAAACCCTAGGCATTATCACAAAACATTACTGTTGTGAGAAAACTAATAAACTGTCGCCCACAGAATAGGGAAACATGGAATAAGTCAGTAAGTGGACTATGTTTACTCATTTATATCTACACCAAATAATTACACTTGAACTCAAACGAACTTTTAAACACCAGTTGGACCAAAATACTGGAATTAGGTTCCAGAGAATAAACATTAATTGTCTTAACAACAGCTTTTTACTAGGATCTGTGGTTCAATATACCCAGTTTTAAGAGTTTTATATTGTTAACATTCGTGTCTATAATCCGTGGGCGTCTTTTTTATTCTGGTCATTTAAACACACAAACATTGGTGCAAGGAGGCACCGAATATATATGCGTCACACTTCGTCATTCGATTTGTTTGAGGACTGGGATACTGTCCGGGCGTCTAAACAGAAATGGGTGGGTAACCACTCTCCGAGCCTTTGACCTAGAGGTCTAATCCACAAGGTAGCGGAGCAACGTAAAAATATGTAGTCCCATGGTAACTGGTGACCAACAATAGGTTCATACGCCATTTGTTCCATCAGGATCCTGGAGAAAATGTGCACCATTGGTTTGGAATCAAGGTTTTCCAAATCCCCTAGGTAAATCCTCCATGTCCATCAACTCGGTTGAAGCGCCGGACATTTGCTTTTCATCCTTTCAATTTCGTAAACAACAGTAATACCGCGGAAAGGCAGTGAGTAGAACTTCTTTATACAGAAACTAATGACTAAAACATTCGACAATATAAAATGAAATTTGTACTGATTGATGCATATGGTGACCAAGTAAACCTTACAGAAAGATGTATAGTTATATAAACTGGAGAATCGCGCTAGCAGTTTACAAATCCAATGGAACTGTATAATAATAAACAAATCTTACTGAATAAAAAGTCATATCGCATAACAACAATTGTAACAATAAAGAGATTTAATCACAGAACCATCTGAAAGAAATGAGTAAACAACTTACCTTTATGCTTAGTCCGACTGATTCTAGCAACGGTGAGAAAAGGCTTTGTATATAAGCCATATAACGATATTGAGCATTCAAATGAGCGGCTTGTTCGAAATCAGCTGTTGTAATTTTATAACCTGTAGTACACAAGTGATCAAAGTTTGAGGTATTCAAAATCTGTTTTTCTTTTGTACACTTTATTGGTTTTTTTGATGAAGTTTTAGAACTGTTATCGGTGGATACTGCTGCTGTAAAGTGATCATTTTCACAAACTTGTAAATCTATACCACTTACGGAAGATAATCTATGTGCAAACGATGCATCAACAGTATTATTTTGATTGGAGTCAGTGATATTTGCTGAAGACTGTGGGATTGAGGAAGTAACTTTAGACGTTAAAGAGTGTCTACAAATATATATATATAGAAGGAAACCAGAAAAACAATAATTACAAAAGAAGACCGACTAAAAGTCATAAGAAATAATATTCCAGTTAGTTGATATACATAATTAGGATGGATAAATGATAGTTATGAAAATATATCAAACATTTCGTAATAAATATTCACCTTGTCTATACTACAATATACAATATAACATAGTATGAAACAAAGTGGAACAAATTTCAACTTATATGTACCTAAATAATAAATAAATAATAAAGATAACTAATCAAGATTATAAATCAAGAAAAAACCTACTCCATGATATTTGCTCTGGCATCTTGAAGAAAACGTTTCATAATTGGATTATGAATTAAAGGATCACCAGTATCATTATTGCAATCATTTAATTGATCAGTTGCATCCCAATACACTTCATCTGTTGGATCGTAGATATCATCATTTATTAGATTTGATCCTTGTATATTACCATTGATAGGTTTATCAGTTAAGTAATGAATATTATCATCTGATTGTTTTCTACAAAACCCTATATCTATTTTAAAACAAAGAAAAAGGAATACTTTTATACATGTGAAATATAAAAATATCCTGTTGAGTCACTAATCAAAATGTAAGCAGTTGTTTAGTGAAAAAAATTTACTACAGCCGTACAATTGTATTAATAATGATCTTTACATAAAGTAGTATGTAACAGATTAAAAAGGTATTATATTATTAGCAGTTATTAAAAATTGAGTTCTCGAGTATCGAATATTAGTTAAGCAACTATCTTAAATGTACTAAGAAATAGTGGAATGAAAATATTGAAAGAAATTCAAATATAATTATGATGTAAATAGAGGAATAAAGAAGCTATGACGAAAAACCGAAGCTACTTTTGGGAACATTATTTCACTTAATTAAAAGTTTGCGAAATAGTAATATTTAGTTTTGTTCCTAGATTATTCGATAAACCATAAGCTTTCATTTAATGCATGATTCACTGTTATTCCATCTTCTATTCCAAAGCTATTGTAATTTAAAAGTAACCTATTGCGCTCTATTTTTCCAACATAATGCTTGGTTTAGACATAATTGTATTTTTCTAATTGTTTGTTCGTTGTGGCTGTGTTACTGATCTATCTATTCATATATCATTTTAAACTTATCTGAACTGGGAATCGTTAAGATGAGAAGTATACGATAGGAAATAATATCGAAGCCAGTGTAAGTCTAAATAAGAAAAACGAAAGTAAAGAGGAATAAATCAAGTCGAAAGATGGAAAGTTAAAAATGGGACTTAATATTTAGAAAATGGATTCAAATGTGCCACTGTAATGTCTTCGATCATTGATTACATGGGATTCAAGAAAACTTTCGGCAACTTTCAACATGGTTCAAACTAACAGTTAACAACTTAATGAACTGATAGTATTTCTTGATTTACCAGTGTTGTAACATGGGAGAAAAATCACATGGCTACATACACTCTTATCTGACCGTTCAATCGAGAATTAGACACAAATAACCTAGTGTGTTGACAGAAATACAATTTGGGATGAAACTAAACATTTATGAAAGAGGGATTAGGTATTTGTTGGTTTTGATAAATCAATTACTGATTACATTGTCTGGTTACATTAATATTCACCGAATTGGAATGAATGTCGAGAATGCTTCTCTCATAGATACCAGACTATCAGAAAACACTTTAGGTAATATTTTAATAAGGCCATGGATCATATTTATACATTGACAATGTTTATCGCCATATTACAATCGAATAGCAACGCTTAAACTGACTTGAGTTAATATTTGCAGTTGGTTTCAATCCATCTTCAATATTTGTTAACCCTGCTCTAGTAGGACGAGGAGATGTTGGAGACAACGAACCAACAACCATTTTCAATAGGCGAGATGTAACTGCAGGACTAGGAGTTGTAAGATAATTTCCAGTTTTTGGATTTGTTATAAGTGGTTTTCCAGTTCCAGTTTGCTGAAGTGAGTCATTATCTTTAATCTGACAATCATTAGAAGTACTAAACATTGAACCAGCTTTACGGATAATAAATGAAGATTCATTAAAGTTATTCTGACGAACATCAACTGCATAATTAGTGCACAAAGGAATTGAAGGTGTTGCAAACTCTCGTAAAGCTCTCAAATCTGATACACTTACGGCAAGGGAATCAACTAAGAAACGCCATTCTCGTGTTAATGAGAGAATTCCGCGATGAAGGAATTCATTTTCGGGAACAACAGAATCTTTAAGCATTTCAGCTAAAAGTTCGTCAGCTCTTGTTATTCCATAATAATCACTCATTGTTAGTAGATAACGCCGCAAGACAATTAGTAACTGACAACTAGGATCAAAGCGTAATACATGAGCAGTTTCTGTACGATGTAGAGCATATCCCCCTAAATCCTAAAGAAAAATAAGAAGGAATAAAAGCCTGTAGTCAAAAAGTCTCATTTTATTCACAATAACGATAACAACGGAGAACAAACAGTTTAGCTGAGGATGGTTTATAAAATTACTTTAAAACCTGTAATATGAACCAGTAGAAGCTTTAAAAGAAACGACTGGGATTTAGTAAGATATAAGTTAGTTTAAAAATCATCACTTGTTAGTAATTTGTAGATTGAATAATTTAAGAGTCTAAACCGCAGCAATGTACTAGACTGTAATGTACGTTGTTAATTAGTGTGTAGTTTGTAAATATTTTTTTTACTTAGAATTTAGTAGCAATTAATTCACCTTATATATATCATTGGAATTAAAAAATGACAACTAAATAATTCAGTATCTTAACAAGGAAAAAATAACAAAATGTTTAAAATAAACATTACATCATTTTTCATAACTAATTGGACTTTATTTCTGATTGGGTATGAATATCGTTTATTATTATTATTCATTGTATTCAGAACCTCTGATCTTGGATTAACAACTTCAGTCATAAGACAGGAAATAACAGATAAAAGACGGCGTTCTGAATTTGATCGAAACTGTTTACAAACATCAATTAAACGATTACAAGGATCTATCCATGCACGAATAGTAGGAGCAGCAGTGCTCAGTAAATTCCAATCAGATCTACATTAAGCAACAAAAAAAATAAATATCATGTTAACCCGTTGAACTTTGCAACAAAACAATACGAAAGAAAAATATTGGGGAGGGAGCTTTGTAAAAAATCACTTTTAAAACTCATTGGTTGAAGAATGATTTACGAATAAAATATGGGTGACGAAATTTCTAGCAAACCACAGTCAGTTATATGCAAGGTAGAGTCTAACACATACATGCATCGGTTCAAGTTGCCACATTACTTTAGCGTAGCGAGATAAAATTTGCAGGAAAAAACGTGAAATCCTTCTGCTCTGTTCAAGCCGATTCTGGCTCATATCACCCAAAATATCAAAACATTGGTTTTATAATCGCCTGGACTACAACCAGCTAGTTTGTTTCCACCAACATGACTCAGCTCGACTGTCAGTGACTTCATGGACTGGTGTCACGTTTTCATTTTTTGTACCCAAAGATTTCTTCCAGCCTACTCGTACATCAACAGGCATCATGTATTGAAGCACGGAGTGGCTGGCCATGAGGCACATTATCCCATTATTATAAAAAATCAAATGGATGGTAGTAAACCTATTTAACGCGCATTCATTTGAAATTCCCTCATCGGCTTTACACAGTGCGAATTCTAATTGCATTAAAGTAATTTACTTCTTTTCAGTAATATCTAGACATTTACCAAAAGCTTATAATAGTATATTGCATTTAAATTCTAAAAAAAATAACATATTTATTACATAAACACGAATGTATTCAATGGTGTTCCTGATGATCAAACTTGTTACCTGATAAGTTCTATTCTTCTTTTATTAGGTAAACGCTTCGGTGCAGCAAAATTAAGCCATACTGTATTAACAACTAATTTTGATGACAAACCGTTGACATAATTCACTTTTTTATCATTCGGCGAATTACCAGCCTGAGCTTGAGGAGAAGTATTATGTCCAGAAGGAGCAGTCTAAAATCAAAGTATAAATTAGTAAATTTTCTTTTTTATGCATTGAGCAATTAACATGTATCAAAAACATCTGTTTATATCAACTGTGAAAATCGAGCTATGGATTGGGATTATGATTAAAGGAAAAATTATGAGTATCATTACATGGTCTATTTGAAGCAGCCAAGTTTATAGTTAGATTTGGCTTCAAAGATAACAACCGACCTTGTCAATAATTAAATAAATAGATTTGCTTCTGCTTACGTTTGTGAAAAAAGGGTTACAAATTCGATAAAAATGAGATAATAGTTGACTTAAATTCACAGAAAACAAAATAAGCATTTATGGTATGTGTTAAACTAATTGTCACTGTTAGTAATGAAGCAGAATGATAATTCTATGTTCCAGTTTCATTTAGAGAGTTAAATTGTAACTAACGTATAGAAATGAAAGCATACAGTAATATTAACTAAGCCCATTAGATCTGTGTAGTTTCCCGAAAATCTAAACGACATCCAATGAAGTGTAGCCTAAGTGGTTAAGGCACTCTCTTTCAGCTAGCAAATATGTGATCCGAAATACGTATCAATCACTTACGGTTGAACAGCCGGGTGGTAGCATCATGAAACCCTATCCAACCAATAAGACTAAAAACATATTACACGATTCCTGTTTATGTCAAATGAAACTAAGTGAAAAAATGACATCTGGACTCAAATATTATCGAACATAGGTAACTTTTACACACAAATAATCAAATCATGTTTGAAATAAATCACGAGTTACTGGAAGTAAGCACTGTTATGAAAAAACAAACAGCTATTTATTGACGAAAGATATGATGAAACTTATCACAAAATCCTTTACTAGGCTTTCATTTACCTCATTACAAGTGTATTTCGGTTGTTGGTCGGTAGATGTAGTCTTTGTAACCTGTTCGACTGATACTGGGTCAGGGAATCCACTACGCTGAACCCAGGAAAATGCTAAACCTTGTAAGCCACACTCAAACATAATCCAACCGAAACTTTGTTCTTCAAAATATTTGGATGGACATGAAGATTCACCTGTAGAACTAAGACTGGAATTACATGGATCCGATGTGAAACGAAAGAATGCTCTAGAGGATTCAAAAGGTATTGCTGTTAGTAAAACATCTGCATTGAACTGACTGTGACGTGTAAGACGACGTAATTGTCCATGAATTCTTTGTACTGTTACTTGACAAACTAATTCACTTCCTAAATGTTCACTATCCAGTGAATTACTGATAACAAAAGTCGGCTCGTTCACAGGTGGCTTCATATAACTTAAATTGATGGCATCTATAAATTGAATTACATGGGAAAAAAGAAATCGCTAAGAGTTAACTAAAAGTAGTCAAAATTTATCATAAGAGATATAGCGCTGTCATATATACTTATTTAAGCAATAAACATTGGTACAAAAGGGCATCAAATACATATGCGCCACAGTTTATCACTCAATTTGTGTGAAGGTCAGGATACTGCACGAGCGCCCTTATCAAATTTTAGTATATTTCAAGTTAAGTTTGAGTTTCGGTATGAATATCAACAATGGAATATAGGTATATCCAACCTACGAGTTTTAGATAGGAAGAAATGTATGGGTCCTTAAGTTAACTCTATATATTAAAATTTGCTTTGTGTTCAAAAAAGGGAGATAAGAATACAAATACTATCTAACACTACACTGAATTCAACTCCAAGTCGGTAATGTAGTCTATAACATGTCTAGTGTAAAATATATTTCATCTAGTATATATATATATATATATATATATATATATATATATATATATATATATATATTTCATCTAGTAAATATTCAAGAGAGCAGTTTCCACAACAATGAACAGTAAAATATATAATGAACACTTGAATGTAGAGAACGATTTCTGAGAAAGAAAACAAAAAAACGTAAAACTTAGCAGACAACAAACAACTTGTGTGGAAATAATACTTACCACCAACCTTTTGATTGGGCTTCGAACCCGACAACGAAGAAATATATTCCATACTAGGTGATTTAATATTATTAAACTTATGACTGTCAACCAGTTTCATGGATCTATTTTCGTCTACATGTTCTGATTTTCTTTGACATTGATATTCACTACCTTTCAGATCATCCAAAAGAGTATCGTGCCATTCGTTTGATTTTTGGATAGTATTGATTGGTTCAGAGGATTGAGTAAATGTATCATAAGTATGACTTAAGTCAGGCGAATTATATAGAACAGGCGGAGCAGATGGTTGTCTCTTATGTTGTTTTCTAACAGGGAATGAATTATTTTCTCCATTATTATTTTTATTATTACTGTTGTCCTTATATATAGTGTTGTATCGTTCCGATAGATCAGAATAAGTTTGAAACATATCATGAACACTGGATGAAATATTTTTCATTGAAATATTATCTTTTTGGAACGTGGTGGTATTCTGTACGTTACTGGTACTTGGTGGTTTAACAGTGAGATGAAATGAATCAGCTGTTGATGATGCTACAACAGGTCGATTACTAATATTTGAATCAGGTGTAGATATGCTGTTATGTTTATCCGGTAAATGAGCATTAACAGATTTATCACTTAATGATTGTCGTTTATATGATGCCATTAGCTAGTTAATGAAGAAAAATTAATGAGGAAATAAAGGGTGTATTAGTTTTAGAATGTGAAAATTCATGAGTAATCAAGAAATTACAAGTAATTTTGGTTATATTATTCAAATAAGTAGTTCTGAGATTTCCAGTTTGTAATGAAAACAACACAACCTAGTGGGAAATTTAGTTGAAAGAACCACAGTCAACAATAGGTGACTTTGAACGTAGTGTGATGTGAATTATTGATAACTATATGGGTAGCCAAAGATTATGAAAATTTCTTGAGTTTTAACAGGATTAATACAACTAAACAATCGATCATTTCCAACTTATACAAAAGAAATAACTATGTAATTACGACAGAAAGTATAATAAATGAATTTCTTCACGATTTTCACAACTATGATTTCATTATAGTCAAAAATACGAAAATTCACGTAAATAGTACTGAATTGAAAACCTAACTGTAGCTCAAAGTGTATATATATCTAAACTTGCAGTTTTAAACTGACAATACAACACAATCTACACATACCATTACCTAAGAGTTGAAATATTGATTCAATAAAAACGACAGTAGATCACCGTGAAAAACGGAGAATTTCCATTCGAAATGGAGATATATGAGTGAATGTGAAAAGGGTAACTAGCACTTGAGTAGACACACAAAAATAGTGATATAATAATAATAATAATAATAATAATAATAATAATAATAATAATAAACTTACTTCAAAAGAAAATGAATCAATACAAAATGTCATCAAAGATACACATGTTAAATCATGAAGACCAGATTTTAAACTGTCTAAATGAACTAAATCTTCAACAGCATAAAGTTGTAAAAATGAAATATGAATTCGTTCCACAGATAATGAAGCTACTTTACTTGATAAAATTGAAATGATTGATGAATTATTCAATGGCGAAGTAGAATTATCATCATTTTGTAATTGATGATCTGATAATTCAGAAACTAAACACAATGGTTTAGATGTATTTGAAGTATTCTTTTTGAATTTAATGGTATCTTGACTATTTGACACTGAAGATAAGATTATTTATAAAGAAATAGATAAAAAACATGGATCTTTATAAAAATAACTTATACTACTAAGTTCAAGTTTTAATAAGGAAACATATTGAGAGAAATAATGGATGATTAATTTTATTGTAAAAGTAAAGACTTGAGATACTAACACACGAAAGTAATTCAATGAAGTCATTGATTGTTGGCTATACCAATGCTGAATAGGCATAGACATCGCCCCCAAATGCCCTAGTACGGCCGAGAGCGAGGTGGGTTCGCCCTCCCTCTCGAAATACTCTCACACGGCCACGCGTATACAGCCTCTGCCAGGGAAGTCCTACTCATTGCCTTCTCGTGGCGGGGGTGTTGTTTACGAAAATGAGAGGACGAAAAGCGAATGTCCGGCGCTTTACCCGGATTCCAAATCAATGGTGCACATGGTCTCCAGTATCCTGCGGGAACAAATGGCGTATAAACCAATTGTTGGTCACCGGCTACCATGGGACTGCATCTCCTTACGATGCTCCACTGCCTTGTGGGTTAGATCGTTTGGTCAAAGGCTCATAGTGTGGCCCTCTAAGATAACCACCTGCTTCGGTCTGGGCACCCGGGCAGTATCACAGCCAACACAGTCAGTCAGTCAGTCAGTCAGTCAACTACAAAGTAGCACCAGGCACATATGTGCATCGGTGAGGTTGCCATACCGCATCAGCACAACAAGATGAACATCGGATTCATAGCAGTGGTTAGGTCAAAGGTGGTAATATATAAGAGAAAGATTGCATATAGAGATATAGTACAAGAAGAAAGAATTGGTTCGTAGAAAGATATGAAGTGATTTTAATCCCTTAGTTTAAGGGAAGACAGGGAGTGTATACACCGACGCCATTGTGATCGATTCTGAGCCTACACACAATTAATGAACTGAACTGTCTATGATCATGGAAACTAATTCTCTGGCTTCGACGAACATTCAAATGATTCAATTATTATTATTGCTATTGCTATTATTATTATTATTATTATTATTATTATTATTATTATTATTATTATTATTATTATTATTATTATCTACTACGTCATTATTCACCCTCCTTTATTCCCACTCTGTTTATACTTATTTTTTCCGACTTATACAGCAGCTCGTCTATGGTGAAAATTCGACTCTATCTAAACGTTCTCGAGTCACTGTCCGGTTGAAAATTGTATGTTACCACAAAATACGAGGACTGAAACAGTTTTTCTGAAACCACATGCACCATTCAAACTGGCTGCCTTCAACGTTCGCACATTTATGCAGGTCGGACAACAGATAGGGCTGGCTATGTCGTTATAAAGTCTTAATATTGTTGTTCGCTGTCTATCCGAGACCCGTATTCAAGACTATGGTGAAGTACTACAAATTCGACCTCCATCTGTCGCTTCAAAAAGCTTGTTTCACGTGAGCTTATCCGGGGACCCTGTGGCATCTTCGTCTGGTCTTGCTGGTGTTGGTGTCACACTAAGCGCTAGAGCTGAGGTAGCACTAGTCGATTGGATCCCCATTAACAGTCGGTTATGTGCCGTTAGATTACAAAGTTCCATCAAAGTGAGGAGAAATCAGCGTGAGAAACGATGTCTTTTCGTCATCTCCGCCTATGCCCTCACAGATTGCAGCCCGGATGCAATCAAGGATGAGTTTTACCACCAGTTATCTGTTCTTCTCCACAAAGTACGTTCGACAGATATTGTAGTACTAGCCGGAGACTTGAATGCTCAGGTTGTGCGTCTAGGCACAGAAGAGAGTCGTCTAGGTGGCCAATGGGGACTTCTTGGTCGCAGGACAAATAATGGGGACCGTCTACTGCAACTGTGCACAGACCACAACCTGTTTCTGACTAGCACTAACTTTCGGCACAGTCATCGCCAATGTGCCACCTGACGTCCTCCCTCTGCATCTCAAGCCTGGACTCAGATTGATCACATCGCGATCAGCTACCACTGGCGTGGTTGTGTACAAGACTGCCGTTCCTTATGGGGTACCTATCTGGACTCTGATCATGCCGTGGTCTGCGCCAATCTTGCCTTACTTTTCAGTGGACAACGAAGTGACCGCCACCAAAGGACTGATGTCAGCAAGTTGGTTGCAATTGCATGACGCCATGAAAATGACGGGTACAATCAGTTGTGGGTTTGCGAAACGTCCCGCTTATAAGCACTGTGTTTCTTCAGGCTCCGTACAACTCATTGAAGCCTGTCGGTCTACTCCGGGTGATCGTGAGTTTGATCACAAACGAAGGATGTTACGTAAGGAAATTGGACAAAGCTTGCGTAAGGACCGAGAAGCCTGGTGGTGGAAGCGTGCTAATGAGCTGGAAGCAGCAGCTGCATCTGGTAACTGCCAGAAGCTCTTCCAGCTCATCCGAGCCACTGGCAGCAAGAAGTCTGGTGTGAGTGAAACAATCTGCGAGGATGATGGGATGCCAATCACTAACATCCATCGACGTCTTGGACGATGGGCAGAATTTTTCGAAGGGCAGTTCAACTGGCCTGCTGCTCCGGCAACATCGGTCAGACTCTCCTGCCCTCCATGGCCGGTGACGACTGATCCACCAAATGAGGAGGAAGTCCGCAAGGAACTCCAACTCTTGAAGCGTTACAAATCACCTGGCCCAGATGACTTACCTCCGGCTCCTTTTAAAGATGGTGGTGAATTTCTGACTAAGGAATCGACGACGTTGTTTACAAAGGTTTGGGAACTAGAGAGTGTACCAACGTCATGGAATGAGTCGATAGTTGTCCCTATCTTCAAAAAGGATTCACGTAGTTCCTGTAACAACTATCGGGGGATAAGTCTACTTCCGATTGCGTCCAAGCTATTGGCTTCCGTCATACTTCGAAGGTTGTTCAAAACCCGAGAAAGATTGACTCGCGAGGAGCAGGCTGGTCTTCGTTCTGGTCCAGGATGTATTGATCATATCTTCACCCTCCGCCAAATGTTAGAACACCCCCATACTTTTCAAAGGCCAACAATCGTAGTGTTTCTTGACATCAGGGCTGCCTTCGATTCGTTGGACAGGACAGTTCTCTGGGATTGTCTATTGAAGAAGGGTGTGCCTGAGAAGTTTATTAACATCCTAAAAGCCATATATACTAACACCTCAGGCAGAGTGAGGGCATACAACCACCTCTCTCCATTGTTCCATTCGAGCAGTGGGGTTAGGCAGGGTTGCCCAATCTCACCATTCCGCTTCAACTTTGCCATCGACGACATTCTGGAAACAGCTCTGATGAATGTAAGTAATGGTGGTGTGGATCTGTTGCCTAGAGAAAGACTTCTCGACCTTGAGTATGCGGACGATATTGTCTTACTGTGCGATAATGCCCAAGCCATGCAATACGCACTTAATCGGTTGGCAATCAGTGTCCGTAGGTATGGTATGTGCTTTGCACCTTCGAAGTGCAAAGTACTTCTACAAGACTGGCAGGATTATAATCCTGTACTCACCCTGGATGGTGAGCAGATAGAAGTAGTCGAGAAGTTCGTGTATCTGGGTAGCTACACAAGTGCTGGTATTGACGTGAGTGATGAGATCAATGCACGTATAGTGAAAGCCAGAGCGTCTTATGCCAATCTGGGCCATCTTTGACACCTTCGTGATGTTAGTCTGGCTGTAAAAGGTCGGATTTACAACGCGTCGGTGAGAGAAGTTTTGCTCTATGCTTGTGAAACCTGGTCTCTCCGAGTTGAGGACGTCAGACGACTTTCTGTGTTCGATCATCGTTGTCTCCGAAGGATTGCTGACATCCAGTGGCAACACCATGTTGGTAATGCAAAGGTTCGGCATCGTGTGTTCGGGCGCAGAGACGATAATTCAATTGGTGTCACCATCTTGAAACACCGACTTCGGTGGCTTGGACATGTTCTACGAATGTCGTCCCAGAGAATCCTACGTCGTGCATTATTTGCCGACTCTGGGACTAGTTGGAAAAAGCGGAGAGGTGGTCAGTATATGACATGGTGTCGTGGTATGAAAGAAAGCTGCAAAGGACTGGCTTGTGTTGGTCCTTCACGGCTCCCTGGCTGGGGTCCGAGAGATGGTGAAACACAGTGGGTAGAGACGTCATCTGATATTGCTCAGACTAGAAGCCAGTGGCGATCCTGCTGTAACCTTCTTTTATTTTCCTCATAAAAAGTGGTTGTATCTTCCTTAACTGAAAGATTTCTTCTGATTGTACCCTTCTTTTCCCCTACTATTGCTATTATTATTATTACAATACCTTACACCAATCTCTTCGTTATTGTTTATTATTATTTTTTTTACGTTCCTCACTTTTTTTCTCAGATTCTCATTGTTTTGTGTGGCGCATATATATTCGGCGCACTCCTGTACCAATATATATGTGTTCGAATAAAAATACAAAAAAAAAGAATTTTAATCAATATTCGTGACTATTGTTTGATGATATTGTGTGACATGGAGCTTAATAAGTCCTAATGTACCAAATACATTTATTCTCAATCTTCCCTAGATCTTCAGTCAAGTATCATTTTTGGTTTTCCAGCCTTCAATCCCATGATTTCCATTAAAACTGTATTTTATTGTTTCTAGATTTTTATTCAGGTTAAAAACAATTCCCATCTTCGCTTGATTGACAGAAGAATAGCAGTGGTGATTCATCTGCAACTGACAATTCTCATCCTACGTTTACCTCTATTAAAACAAATACTACATATGTGACTAAATGTTTTAATAAGTGTAAACAGGCTAACATAATTACCAAAAGTCTACATGATCCTTAGTTTACCTACTGTGTTGTTGGCATAAGAAACAACAAAACACAACAATCATCAAGAGTGAAATAATAATAATAGTAACAATAAATTATAATAATATCTTGGAAATAATATAATTATGATTATGTACTCACTTAACTCGTAATCTGCCGATATCCTTCGAATTCTGAAAGATTTGGAAGTAATAATCTGATGAGATACATTACTAGGCATTGCATCTTGAGCAGAACGTGAACCAAGAAGATTATGTAATATTGACTGGCGTTCTTCTACAGGAGCAGCAATAGTTGATAACTTATCACCAAAAACAGAACGTGATGAGTGGTTTGGTTTTACTTTTTGAGCAGAAGAATTTTGATTTTTCGGTATTATATTATGAGAGGAATTGAGCAAAGGTTTGACTTGATGCTCCACCGATTTTACGCACCTATAGTGCATTGAATCCACAATTGATGAGGGTGAGGTAGTTTTTGCAATTGGCATAAGTATTTTTATATATCTGAAATAAATAAACGTCTACTTAATCATTTACAAAAGAATATATAAGACTGAAAATAAACGAATACAACATAATATATAAAAACAATGTAGCGGCTTAAAAATAAATCATATGTTGGATCAGTTATATTGTTTTGTCGACTTAGAATTTCATGACATAAATAACTCGTCAATTATTATAAATTGTACAGTACTCTGTTATGAAATAGAATAACTAAGAACTTTATGTTTTAAAAAGATATCATGATTAAATGTATACAACTTCAAAAAACCAGGCATTACTACTGTCACTCAAACAAGGTTAGCCTATGTGTAATGAAAAGAGTTAAAAGGAAGGTTTATGTTCACAACATATTTGTTCGTCCATTCAGATCGAAGTTAGATCTCGAGCAACTAAATATTCTAGTTCTTTATTTAAACCAACAATATCACAGGTTAATATAATTCAAAAAATGACTGCAACCAATATTGTAACTATAAATCTTGTAATCTTTTAATTGTCATTGCAAACCGTATCAAGATGAACAAATGAACACAATTGACCGGCGATGTTTAATGGAAACCTCAAAAAAGAAAAAAAACTGATTAGTAAAACAAATGTCGTTAATCAAATGAAAATTATTTATAGACGACATAATAAAATTTCTATAAAATAGAAAAAGGAATGATTTACCTTTCAAGTGATTCCGTCAAAAGTGGAGTAAGAAGTAAGTTAATTGGACCTTTAAGCCAAACAATAGCTTTCGATTTCACAGTAGTAGTTCCAGAATCAGCATTATCTGAGAGAGAAAAAAAATAAGTGCTTAGTGGGTTTCTACACAATGCACTAAAATAAAAGTTGCCTTATATTGTATTTTATTAATTGACATAGTAATCTATAAAAATATACCCTTTTTTCACTAGGGTAATGCTAAAAACTAATTACTGAATTAATTAGTGTACAACAGAAACAACTCAATCTTAACATATTAAATGCATAAAATGGGCATGAATAATAAGAAGTATTGATGGTTGCCCGGAGCATGTTACTCATGCTGATAGTATAAGTAATAGTAGTAGTAGTAGTAGCAGTAATCGGAAGCGAATGCCTGATAGCAGAAGATTGAAATGAAAAGAACAGGAACGAAACCGAAGAGCAGTCAAAATAACAACAGAATAAGGGGAACAGTGGAGTATTTAAAGGACAACTGAAGGAAGCTGTGCAAATGATATATTTAATGTACGATTTTCATATTGTACTAAGCTACTGTGTGATTTTGCATCTAACAATAAATCGGTTTTCCCACCTGAATTTCGTTCACTACAGTTGAAGTATAATGTGTTATGACCGATGTGGGGTTCTCTTCATATACAAAAATGAATTTACGTTAGGTAGGATGGACGACTAACACATAGTAACATTTAAAGTTAATAACACACACACGAAGAAGAGAGAGGAAAGATGGGACTTTCAGAAAAGCTTTAACATTCCTAACGGAAGTCGAAATTGTAATAGCAACAACTATTGCCTTGAAACATAGTGAAAATAACAGACTAAGACCATTTTCACCAACCAGACAATACCAAATGTCAACAGAGTTAAATTGGGTGGAAAGAATAAACTGCAGACTTCCTTGCATTGTCAGAACCATATGAAAAACAAGATAATTTTAGACTTTGCTAAAGAAGCCAAAAACCACGAAATAGTTTTTCTACATAGTAGTTGAAAATTTAGAGATATTCTTCATTTGTAAGAGGAAACGAGAGATTAGGGCGATGGGAAAAACAACTGCACCCGATTCCCAAAGGGAGTAAACAGACCAAAAGAATCTTGGTTGAACTAAATAACAAGTAATTAAAAACCATCTCAAATAAAAGCAGATCAAATACACTCCAATGAAATTAAAAAGTGACTCTCTAGGTTTATTTTTTCCCGTTCTTATCTTTTACTACATTATAGCTTTTAAAGAGGCTATAGATAAATAAATGTATTACAATCACTTACAATTTGATTCTTTCTGTGTCAAATCTGGAGGATTCGAAGGAGGAATAGCAGGATGTGATGGAGTTGAGTCTGAACGAATAGTAATGGACTGGGATGAGAAACCGGTATGCCGAATCTGAAAACGTGGAGCAATAGCAACTTTAGGTTGACACTGACGGAGAAGATCGAAAACTGTTACATTCTGATGAGGTGAGGATTTTGAATGACTTGAGCATGCATTTTTATCAACTCTTAACAGATTATCTAGCGAATGTAGGCAGGTGTTCCCAGGGTATATATGTTTACAAATATGCCAACGATTTCGGAGACTTATTGGGCAGGTTAAACCAGCTACACATTTAAATGAGCTTAAATGTCGACCGTAAGCTGGACGTAGGAGACCACTCTCGCTTATTGGTCTATTTAATTGAGTCCGGAGATCTGAAAATAATAGAATCACATAAAAGACAATGCTTCTGTCAGCAATAATCAAAATTCAATAAAAACGAAAGAGACTTGTCATTAATTAGTTTAGTATAAAACGTACTTAAACTTATCTAAGTACATTTCAGTTACTCAAAAACAATGAGGAATTAAAACGTTGGTAAATAAAATAAAACGCATTAATTATAAGTTAGTGGTTGCGTGAAATATGTAAATAAAACAATTGTAAAACAACTTAAGGTCACGATTTTCCACATCATGGTTTTAATATGAGGATACGAGTTAATATTGGAAGAATATCAATACATCCAATAATAAAGCATTAATTTCATACCATTCGTAGAATCATCTAAAAGACAGTAGTTTCAGGATTGTAGAGTGATGTAAACAGTGAAAAAAAGCAAATTAAAGTTTTTGGGGAAGATCACAAAAATATCTAGCTGAATGTCGTCAAACATAACCATTAATTACTATGAATTCAAATGACCACTCTAAATATCCAGTCGAAGAATTTAAAATGCTACTTTGAATTGAAAGTATGAAAAATGCGAAAAAATGTCTTATAAGATTTGAAACAATCATGACAAATTCAGAGTAAAACATGAGGAATTCAAAGAAATAATAATGATAATAATTTGTACTTACCGACAAGATTTTCAAAAGCATCATCAAACTCTTTTCTGTTCTCATCTAAGTCTTTAGATTCGATATTTATGCTTTTTTCATGAGTAGAAACCTCCATGTTGTGTGATTCATTCCGTCTTTTTTCTTTAATATAATGCTGATCTCTGATAAATTTTCGAGGAGGTGGAGTTGGGGGTGACTTACAATGTGATGACGATGATGAACCAATATGAATATTTTCCATGTGTGACTGTGTCTCAGTATTGTTGTTATTACTATGAACTGGATGAATTAAACTATTATTTGACAAACTGTCATATGAAGTGCCCGAATGTGGAGGCAGTTCAATAGGAGTATTCAGTGATAAATTTGATGGTAGATAACTTGACTTTTTTATTTCATTTTTAATATTTGTGGTTGAGTGCAATGATGATATTTCTTCGAAAAAAAAAGAGGAAAACAAGTGATGACAATTAGGGGGGGGGCAACAAAATTGAGTAATCCATATATAAAGGAAATATAAACATATGTTTATATATGAGTTAATTACCTTTTTAGGTATGACATGCTGAAGTGGCACAAGAACGATTTTGTTTTCATTAGTATAAAAGTTTATGGAGATTGTTGAATTAAACAATTTACATTTCTAACTACATTGCATACTAACTCATTAGTCTAAAAGTTCTGATTGAGAGACTTAAGGGTTCTGGGTTCGATCCACGGTAGGATGGTAAATGAGCATTACTGAGCCCCTTATATTAAGACGAAATAGTTATCCAATCCGTGACAGTTTTCAACCGCTGGCTAACTAAAGTTAATCCATGATGTAAAGTAAAATTTTTACTACATTTTAAGTTCATTTTATCTGAGTTGTCGTCTAATTCGATTCTTGTGACTTTACTCCCGTAATTTGCGTGACCAGATCTATTATATATAAATAAGGATCGACCTCGCTAATAGCATCAAATGCCGTTTGTTTTTTTTATTTTTTGTATTTCTAATTTATTTTTGGTTCCAATCTAAATATTCTTCAAGGCATTTATCAATTTTCTAACTGATAGGAAGGTATGAAATACAATGAATTCAATTTTTGTTAATTCTATTGTTCTAGCTCTGTTTAAAATCATAAAAAATCGGCTGAATGAAATAAAGAAATATGAAAGTTAAAACTTGGAATTCATACAATCGGAGTTAATGACTTAATGATCTATAAGTGTTTTTAGAAAGTATGGCAATAAAGTACATATGTCTGTGATTTAAAAATGAACTCCGAACATAAACAATAGAAAAATTTCTCAAAAATAGTTCATTTAACAAATGCTGGTTTATATGTTCAGTTTTGAATCAAAATTTTGTGTGCACATGTAAGGAATAATGATATTATTCAAAAGTCTAAAAGGAAGTAGGTGGGGCGGGAATCATACCTACAACCTAATGGTTGTGAGTTATGTTAATATGAGTAAAGACATCAAGATGTTGCCGTAACTTAAATATGGATACATTTCTATTTGATAATAGACAGAAATGGTTATCACTAACTAGGTGCGGGGAAATTTTTCAAAGCTTACAGATATTGGATATCTTAAAACTGTGATTATAAATAATAGAACCCCTGAATGGTCAATCAATGAGATACAATTTGGACCTAAACCAAAAAAGAGCGAATGTTTTTAAAAAACGAAAGCCATTATTACCTATCAACCATAACTTATGAAGAGCCCCACTATGACCAATGTAAAACACCCTCTACATATAGTTATAAATGAAGTGTGACTGATATTGTCTAACAATCAACAGTGATTAGGTTGTTATTTAACGATGGATTCAGAAAGCTCGATTGGCTTATGTCAGCTGGCGTCACCTATAGCGTAGTCGAGGTATCAGTCCGTTAACAGATAGAAGAGCATACTAACCAGAAGTCTATTCTGTATTACTCTATGACTGTGAAACATGACCTAAGAAAACAGAAAACGTTCGCAGACTAGGATTTTGATCATAGGTGTATTCGAAGCATTGCTCAGATGTTATGGAACTACTTAAAAAAAATACCCACTGAGATAAACGCAGAGCACCAGTCGGAGATAGATAATCGGTTGATAAGGTTGTGAATCTTCGTAGACTGAGGTAGTTGAGACATATGGCACGTATGTGCAGGTACCACCTTCCTCAGCACAAGATGTGTAGACTGTAAGAAAGGTATGGGTGGTCAAAACAAAAGGAGTCATGAGTCCATCAAATGGTTGAGTTTTTTAATCGTAATGGTAAAGGGAGACTAAGGCAGGCTCATGTGATAACTACGGTCACTAGTTGGAAATATTGGCTGGCATGGGATGGAACAGGTCTAGATCCTAAACTACAGTATACCATCATATACACCACATTCCCTCTTGTTGAACCACATTCTCAACGTTTATTCTATTCATACTGTTGCTACAATACTATGATTTTTTTCGACATTCATTTTGTTAAATTCATCTTGACGAGTTAATGTGTTATAGGAACTCAGATTAACGCATATTTATGCTAGGTTTTAAGTTGATTACAACTGACTGATGATTGTCTACCTGTCATCGTTATTCACATATATGTAATGTTGAATCAAATAGCTAACTACATGTGAAACGTTTTATTTTATCAACCAATCAATCTACAATAAACCCTTAGGAAAACCGATTAAATCTAAACGAGAAAATATAACATAAAATAATTTATTACCTTCACGTAATTTCTTAACTTCATTTGCTCGATTACCTTCTAAATTGTCATTAACTGTCGCTAATAGAAGATCAGATAGAGATGAATGTTTAGTCTGTTGAGATGCATTGAGTTCCATCCATGAATCTTTTGTCTTTGTTCTATTCGTTGAATATCTCATTTTATCCATTGAATCACAAGTAAGTAAATCTTTTAATGGATGATCTTTGGAATTTTTCAAAAATAAATCGACATCAGAAGTATCAGAATCGTGTTCAATAAGCTGTTCCAGATTACTACTACTCTGATTAAAAGATGCATACGTTCCTAAACTATTGGAACTTCTGGTTGAATCTGTATCAGATTGATAGTGTTCTTCACAAAAATGCAGTAAATACCAATCCATCTAGAAAATTTGTTTGTTTTGTTTTGGAAAATTAACATTTAAAAAAACGATAGAACAATATACAGTCCATGGATAAAATTTGATAAGAAAAGCAAAAATAACAATCTAACCAATATAATTTTAAAATTACCTACTCTATAACATAATATTTTTTTCAATAAATTTTCCTCAGGTTCTACAATTAGGGGTAAAGCACAAGCAAAACGTCGGTACCAAAGTTGCGCAGAGCAATCGAAAGAACTTTTAGTGCAGGTAAACTACAATCAAAGTTTTCTACACTTCTGAAGGTCACTCGGAGATTGAACGATAAATCACCTAGACAAGCTACTTCTTTCTGTATCTATCAATTCAACTGCGCTTGTGGAGCAAATTATATAGGTAGATATTTTAAAAAATTTTGTTTCCGTGTTCTCGAACACCTCTCTGAGTGGTTAAGTAAAAGTATACTTAAAACAGTTAACAGCTCGATTTCAGCTCATTTAGTACAGACGGGTCATACAGTCAACATGGAACAATCATTTGCAATAATATATCGTGTTAGCACAAATATGTCTACATCCGTCAGAATGAGAATCCTTCAGACGGCTGGAGAAATAGCTATTCGGATCAAAAAGCCAAAGCTGTGTGTCCAAAAGAAATATGCTCAACCACCTACTTTTGGACTAATGAGTTAATAATCATTATTTTAATATGGTGAAGTAATCTCATTAATGTTCATTTTCATAGCTTAAACTTATCTTATTCGTGCATCCTATTATTATTATTACATCACCTGCCAACGTTTTTGGGAAATTTATTCAGCATCCAATCCTATTTACTTATTCCTACCTAATTCGCATTATTCTACATATTACGTAATTTCTTATTTGTAATTATATTATTCTCTCTCTCATACCATGTTAACCATATTTGTTATGACCTTTTATTTTTATATATAAATGCTCTTAACAAGTATATGTATGATCAGATTGTTCGAAATGTATTGCGCTAATATATCACATAGTTCTGATAATCTTCGTCTTCTAATTACATTATCGAAATTTATTCTGATCACTTATCTATCGATTTCATTTAATGTATAAACTTATACAAGTTAACACTTCATATTAGTTACCTAAACAGTAACGATTTGATTTGATTTTACATGACAGACAATCCTTGATTCACATGTTATAATTTTAAATGATGTACACTGCCTTAAACCTGGCCAATTTTTTGGATGATTAATTTGGATAATAAACCTGAGGAGGATTTATCGAAAAGAATATTGTTCGTTCATATTAATTGTGTTTTACTATATATGCTTTGGTTATTTTCGATCAAAATAAATCCAACAGAAATATAATTTATTGACTGTTATATTCTTTATGTTTAATTTTCTACTATTATTCCATATTCCAATTAGTACATCGACTCTTTTAATTTTCACCATAAATTGATTACCTTTTAGTATATTTTCATGTAAAATGGAACAACTTGGAAAGTTTCGGAATTTTTATTGATTTATAACTTGTAAATAACTGACTGATGATATACGAATATCTAGAAGTGAATTTAGCTCAAGGTTACTAACAGTAATACGAAAGTGAATGCGCACTTTACTCGACAACTTAAAGTTTATCTGAATGATGAGTGGTTAAAATATAGACATAATGACTAATGTATTAATGTTCTTAGAAGTCCTGTAAAGTAATAACACAAAATGTGATGTACAATGTAAACAGAAGACATATAGAAGGGAAATATGAATAAAAGTTAGTTGATGTTGATTATGTCAACTTCATTAGCCACAAGAATCACATCAACAAAGTATGAGATTGTATGATAAATCGAAAAGATGCTTCGTTACATAATTGTTTCAGTATTTGTTAAGAAGACAGCTAAATTACCTTAATCAACCTCTGGATAGATAATAATTTCATTATGAAATAAAAATATCATAAACAGAGATCATGAATAGCAAAAACGTGACCAACAGAGAATGGAACAAATACATGCTCTTTGGGATCATAGTAAAAATAATTTCCCAGACTGATCAGTGTTTATATACATGTTTTAGATTACCAAGCATTTATCATCTGACATACTGAAAAAAACTTACACCTTTCTGAATACTGGCCTCAAGAAGAGCTGAAACAATTTCCTCTCGCATAAGCAGTAAACCGTTATATTTCTCCAAACAGTCATCAGGAGAATGTAATTCATGTAACAGACAGTTAGGAAGTAAAAGACTTTCACCGAAACCTAAGCTTTTTGAGTTGGAGTCAAAAACTTTGGATGCAGGTATCTGTCTAAAATTTTTAATTGATAGAAAATACGAAAAACCAAAACATAATATTAAAAATCATCTCTAAATACTTAAGTTCTGTTCTCTGTATTCTAGTTGCTTAAATATTTAACATATGAGTTTTACGACCAAGTGATCAACCGTCCGTTTCTTATACAGACAATTGAAAAACAAATAACAGAATATTGTGATCAATAATAGAGTCAATCCAAATCACTGGAATATATATATCGTGACCATGTATCTTCATCTCGAATACCTATTTAATTGTATGATTTGTGAAACCAGTGTTTCCTTGAGAGCATGTAATGAACTCTGTTCACCTTTAAATGATTTTTATTTGGACTTTGAAGGTAGCGAATAAATCTACGTAATTCATTTGTATTGGTTATTTGAATCTCCCCATTGGTGTTTAGGACTACAATTGATCAGTCTTGTCTTGCATATGTGCATCCTGTGCAGATTGTTTCGATATTGCCATTAACTTACAAGCATTATAAGGAGGGCTGGATGGTGAATAGCAGAGAAATTCAGGATGCACATTTCTTCCTATTCGGAACCAATCAGCAGAATGTACCTAAGTAAATTTTTCATAGTAGTCCACTGACTTATCTTACATATTTCGTTTCTACACGGATCTAATATAGAAATTCATTTATCTGATCGCAACTACTTAAGATATCTATAAACGAAATAAACAGTGACCACCTGACCTTTTGGACTTTCTGACAGAGCAGATAAACAGGGTGTGTAATCAAACAATTTCATTATGTTATCATCTAGAAACTTAATTGTCTAAATTACAAAGAATAAGTCTAAAGTGACTATTTTTCTAGACAGAATTTTATCATGCCATATTTTCTAATTGAAAAATAACCAGTGGTTATCAATCTTTTAATTTAACATCTTAAAGTCGATGGATATAACCATTGAGATCCATCATAACAGAATTACATGTGATTTTCAAAAAAATATACAAGTATATTGACTTCATTTTAAAGACAAATCTAAATTCATTACCGGAAAGCAACCATAAGAAACTGAGTAGTCGCCAACCCCTATATATACAACAGGTACTATACCTTCCGTATAGAACTTAGTAAACAGTTAAATTACCTACATAAATTAGAAGTAACAATAGAAATAATTCTTTAGTATAAAAAGGCAGTGAGTAGTGGACGTCAACTTACTGATTAACACCAAAAGCTGGTTGATTTTCATTATTATTATTATTATCTGATGGTGTAAATAAATCAGGTTTATAATCAGCTCTAGATGGAAATATAGCACGTTGTCGAAAGTCACCAGATGATAATTCATGAAACAAAATTCGTCCACTTTCGTTTTGTCCAAAAAATGAACATTGACCATAGCATCCACAATTAGGTATTATATCTGGAGCAATATAACCGGGTATGCCCTTTCTAATCAAAAATCTGTTTTCTGTAGTAGAAAATGCATTCGATGATTTTGTGGTATGACGTGAACTCAAACTGGAATTACGAAGTGTCCCACTGATAACATCATTATTATCTGACCAAAGAAATGATAAACGTTTAGTTGTTAAATCATGACGTTTAAGAAAATCCAATTGCCAATTGAGATGATTACGTTTTTCTGGTGTCCTGGAAAGATTAATGTGAACTGGACCAAGAGAAAATGAGCCAGCTTCAAACCATAAAACCGAATTTTCCACTTGTTTAGTACTTTTAGCTTGATTGTCTAAATTAAGTTGGTTTTTGATTTCAGGAGCTAAGGAGGGAAATAAAGGAAGAAACTATATCTATTTAATTAACACTAAGGAATAGTATACTTACTTACTCCTGTAACCCCTCGTTGAGGATCATTGGCTGCCCATCAGTATTCAAATTGTTTTTCTCAAGTCAGTTTTTTTAACAAGGTTGTTTTATACGGAATGAGACCAACGACCCCATCCCCAACACTACCTTTACCTGGGCTTGGGACCTGCAGTAACTTTAGAAGGGCTATAGGCGGAGTAGTGTGGTTAGTCATTAATTAATGAGAGAATTTATCGATGTTTTGGTCAATAAATAAAGCACAATATTGACGCACAGTGATCTTATTTTGTTAAGAATCGAAAAACAAAGTTATCAGTTCAATATATAATAATAAAGATTGGTATTATTACTACTATTATTATTGTTATTATTTTCAGGTCAGAAAAACAAGGTTTGTCAAAGTGATCCACACAATACTCTGTAGGACTGATAAGCCAAAAACACCGGGGATTTAAGTTATCTGATTTACAGTCATGTATCAGAATATAATAACTGCAAACGAAGTATTCAATTTTTCATCACAGCCATATCGGAAAACATACACTGATTTACCAGGAAACCTGGATTAGTAAACATGTTGTACAGGAAATGTAAGAATAAGTATATTAAAAATAACCAAAGTCTGATGCTTATGAGTTTGACCAGAAAAAAAAGATGGATATGAGCTAGAAGGAAAGTAGTTTTATATCACCAGCAGTGACCAATGGATCTGGTGTTTTGAGTTGATTCGTACTGCTTATACTCTTATTACCTCTACCACTACGGGATTTGAATCGACAAGTGCATCTCTGTGCTAATGTGGTGTGGCAACTCGAACTGATGTACGTACGTACGAAGTTCTACGTTGTTACTGACTGACTGACTGACTGACTGACAAAAGTATCAATCTCATCACGTCACTAAAATCTGTTGATCAGCATGACGTAAGTGTTTATACATCTAATGTATGGGATGTCAACATGAACTGAAAATTAGCCACCCTAGCAGAACAAATTTTATATAGAAATAAGAAATGTAAACTAATTCAAATAGTAAAAATAATATATTTGTAATATCCCAATGAGTAGAAAATTGGATTTTCTGACGTTTCGTGACTTAGTGTAAGTCACTTCTTCAGAGAATAAATAACCAAATTAAAATTAATCCAAGTTTAAATAGTACAACGGAACAATCCAATAATAATCATTGTTCCGTTGTACTATTTAAACTTGGATTAATTTTAATTTGGTTATTTATTCTCTGAAGAAGTGACTTACACTAAGTCACGAAACGTCAGAAAATCCAATTTTCTACTCATCGGGATATTACAAATATATTATTTTTATTTATAACAATCAACCCAATGCTCAATTTATTCGAAATTATCAAATCAAACCTTGGTAATGACACCCATAATTCAAATAGTCTTACGATGCCATTTTCATTTTGAAGGAGTATAACAATTAGCAAATAAATTAACTACAATCAGTCACAATGACTTGCTTACCCATCGGTGCAACTAATTGTATTAATCTAATATCCGGAATTAATACAAACATCCCATCACAATGGGTAGCACCATGCATATTACAATGAACCAAACGAATCGGATCACATTGGATGCTTAGACAGTTTCGGGTCTCTACAATGCTCAAATCAATACCATCAATAGTGAGACGTAACATTCGATATTTCAGTTGAATATCACTAGGGCATAAAGTGTTAGAGCAAATTTTATGCCAAAATGGACATAGTTGCTAAAAATGAAGTGTAGAAATTCGAAATAAATACATTAGAATAAGTATAGATAACGTTAATAACAATATACTTAATAATAAACAATCTCAGCATTCAGTACATATGTGTTATATTAAACAGAGATCACTCTATAAATCGAACAATAATAATGCGAATACATCATTTTTATGTCTTTTATACACAAACTTAAGAATCGAACTAAATAAATAATTAAATTACATAAGATAACTGTCATAATATACTTTTTTAATTACAGTTAACAAAACTGTAAGCAAAGAAACAAAACTCCGGTTTAACAAACCTTAGTTTTCAGAACAAATAAGTACGGTAGTTTGAAATAAAAGTTGGTGTCCTATCACTAGATATTTAATGTTCATAAGCGAAAGATCTAGTAAGGGAAATTATCAATAAAGATATTTCATTTCAGTTTAAATTAATGTCATTGTAAATAAATAAATACATGTTTAATTAATTGTGTGCTTTTAATAGTTTTAAAGTTCTGATCTTTTTTAAAGCCCTAACAAGCTGTTAGGGGGAATTCACTCGCACATACTTGCTGAAATAAAGGAACTATTTTAAAAGCTAACAGAAATAATAATCATAAATAATAAGAATTTTAGCAACATAATTTTGTTTACCTGTGGACGACCATGTTGACAAAGTTCGAATGCTCTTGAAGAGATTAATTGATTTTCTGAATCGACTGCAGAAAAAGTGAATTCCTTCAAACATTGTACTAAGCATGATAGTTTAGGAGCGGATAATTGGCCGGTAAGTTGACCAACCGTCAGTTCTAATAACCAAGCGTATTCCAATGATTCTGCACGAAGGGGTAAATTAACATGACTAAACATTCCTTGACCACGTAATTGTAAACCGACAAGTTGAATACGACTTGAAGATACATTTGAGTTCGATTTTGATCGAAAGTCCTGAGAAATATTGAAAAAAAATACATCTTCCAATATTTTGACAAATATGACATATTTATTGTTAGGTGATTTTAGATATTGTTTACTTGAACAATATGGGCTGATAAAACACAACACTATATACTTGGTAAACCGTTGAATCCTTAAAAATGAAGAGCTTTCGAGTGATTACGCTTCGGAGACTTCACTGGTATGAATTACAAATAGATACGATTATAAGCAAACAATTTCATTATTGGTAATAAATAAAGAATGCTCAATCATCAAAACAACGGATACTGTGACTTAACAGAGTTTAAAGCATTTAATTTAAAACTATAGGTAGCAGGTTTGAAACTTAGTTTACATATATGGATTTGAACTGCTAGATAGTACCACAACGTTTCAGAACAAACATTATAGCACAAAGCTGAGTACATAATCTTGCACTTGACAAGTGAATGACATTAATATTAATCAGGAAGAGTGAAATCCAAGCAATAAAAATATATTGGCTTTCAATTTACCTTATTTTGATCATAGAAGCATACTAAAATTGGTGAAAAAAGCAATTGAAGCTTTGTCTCATGCCAACGTTTGTCCATTTCAAATCCAATACAATCTAGAAAAGCTGTTGGACAAGGCGATTCATCAGATGAACCATGCTGAAAATAACATCAAGAAATAAAAACAAAACTTAAGTTAGCTTGTAGTATATCAATAAGCAAGGAACTGATAATTATACTGTGTAAACATCTACGAAACGATTAGATAATTCTCAATAGAGCAGTGATTAAAAAGTTGCACACCAACCCCTGTGAGAACTGTAGAAAGGAAGGCTGGTCTATCTAAAACATTCAGTAAAGACAGAAGAAATTGAGGGTTTTTGTTTTATATGATACGATTTAACTTTTTCTGTCAGTCTTTCAACCAACGCAATCAAAATCAGAATATGTTTACACTTTATATAGTAAAGAAATTATTGGATTTTCCTTAACCGTTAACTCAAGACAAAAATAAGTGCGACAAAATGCCAAACATTCTAGCAAGATGAAAATATACACCTACCATGGGCAGATGAACTTGAATATTATGAAATTCCAGTGATAGTCGTACAGATAGGGGACGAAAATCCCTTGGATCAATGATGCGTTTCTCTGGAAGCTTATCGATTTTGCTTAGATCAGTATGACCATCCCCGGAACTATGATTAGTTTGAGATTTCAATCGGATTAAATCATCATCAGTGAGGGAAAAGCTTTCATCCGGTCGAAGAGGTTCACGGTCAAAACTTACAGGTGTCTGATGAATTCCAAAATAATTTTCCTGAACATTAGAAGTGTTCAAAACCAAAAAAAGCAAAAATGTAAATATCTAATATTTTCTAAACAAAGAAATACTAAAGTTCCACTGAATAGTATTTATCGTCAAAAGATAACGGACAGAAAGTGAAATATTAAGTAGCTACGTTAAAAAATTTCAATAAAGTTACCGTTTGAAACAGTTAAAAATATACTCATATCATTCACTAACTTTTATATGAATAAAATGTCGTAGTACTGCACCGTAGAAGAGTAGTTGTGCAGAAGGAACATGCAAATGTATATCAACTGTATCTGGTTCAAAACATGCAAATATGTCACATTTACTCTGTAGTATATCATTTTCAGTAGGACCTTGTGTATGGCTACCTTCCGGTCGGAGTTTACTAAGTGCTATTTCCTCCAAGTCTGACTAGAAATAAATAAATAGATAAAAACAGCATCCATAATAGTGTTACAAATTACTTTGATTTATGAAACAATTTTCGTTATAAATCACTGAATTTTGTGAGGATTGTAAAGTTTTCACAGTCTAAATCACGAAGTGATCTTTGAAAATTCGGAAGCCCTGGACGGCCGTTACGTCTTAGTATGGAACTACTCGGCAGTGAGCATACACGACCCCACACACAGGAATCAAAACCAGAACCATCGGTTACCAGTGCTTCGAAGTTTTCAATTGTAGTATAGCTAAGAACTGTTCGTGATTTAAACTGAGAACAAATATTAACACCGAAAACTTAATGAAGTAGCACTACAATGATAAATTACTTTTCCGTATAACAGTAGAATGTGATTTTGAAAACAATCATTATATAAACTAAATAGGACGTTATGAATTTGCTACTGTGCATCCACATACAAATATATATATATATATATATATATATATATATATAGCCACTTTTGTTCTGATCTTGTATAATTGTTATTTTCTATGGTATGATGAAGTCTGACTTGCTTGTATACAAACTGCATTTGTCTGAAACACGTGATTCATACAGTGGAAGCGGAGATGTTGTTCTGGACTAAACGGGAAGGGAAAGACAGAAGAACCAATAAGGACTCAGAGTTGCCTCAAGGCTGTTCATGCTGGTTAATACGCTATTGTTTTGATAAAGGGCCAAGGTCGTATAACTCGGTGTTCTGCTTGGTAGTTCAATCACGTGATATGACAGACTATGAGAACATAACGGTTTAATTTAATATAAATAAACTGAGGGATAATAATACAGTACTTCATAAAGCTTAATACATGAAAAAAGGCTTACTTGACTCGTTGTTTCTACATTCTGACAATTTAAAGCAGTTGTACGTTTGAATGCACTAGGCTTACGACCACTTTGATATGATAATTTAGCTGAAGACACTACCGGTCTGTATTCCGAAGGAACAAAACGCCAATATTCAGATACCCACGGTGATGGGTGATAAATGTAGGCTATTCTAAGACGTAAACGAGGTGTCCAGCCGCAGTCGAACCATTGGCAATTAATTCTAGAATGGTAAGATCGAGAAAAAAAAGTAAAAGAAAAATTTGATATTATTGAAGAAACAAAAAAATAAATGAAAGTACATCACTGCCTAAACTGAATTAAATTTTTCTTATTTGAACAGTGACACTTGTAGAGTAAACACTTAACATGTTAAATTAATTTTAAGCTTATATTGTAAATTTTCATTGTTATTTTATAGTACAAATTAACTTATGAACAGTTAATAAAAATCATGTATAACAGAATTAAGTATAGAGATGATAAAATCATTTTGATCCAATTCATTCTATTATACTAAACATGATAAAGGTATATCTAGCTGATGAGTCCCAAATAATACGATAAGCGCGTCCTGAATTCCAATGCTACCCATTATCCATCTCTGCTTAAGATTAAGAACGGTTATTTTGTGCCCTACAATCTTCAAAATTAATTACATCAGAAGAAAATTATCTGAAAATAAAAAACTGATCTTAATAATCATATCTCAAATAAACAAAAAACATATTACGTTTTCGAAACTTTTTCATGAAATGTCATTTCTTGAATACTAGAATGAAATGGTGAAGATTTTTGAATTTGACCACGACCATTAACAAATTTCATACGATTATGAACTTCTTGTATTATATAATACAGAGTACTAGACTCTGGTACGGATATTCGAAGTGACACTGAAGAACACTGTAAAAAAATTATATAAAATAGAAGATATATGGATTTAATACTACTTACAAAATTATGAAGAATGTCTAAAAAACATGATAGAATAACTAAAAAGCGCCTAGCGGTCGACATTGAGGCAAATAGACTTCAAAACAACATTAGCTGTCAAATAGAACTTTCATATATATGTTACATAAATGTAAGTTAAGTTGAAGAACAGAGTGATTGGGAATGTGTTGGACATATTAACGAACATAATATTTCTACACTAATACGAATCATTTAAACAAATACTTTGTAATTTAATTAATTAATTAAAAGTTTTTGTACTATGTTTTAAGTATTATTTATTACTTAGAAAGTGAAAATCTAACCCGTTTAGCCAAGATGAATTGATTACAATATGCTGCGACAGCATCACTAATTAAACGAAACGAGTTCCGAAACTAATCACTTGTACCCTTACAGGTTAGGTTCTTTTCGTAAACTTGTCAATAAGTAGTCGAAACAATACCATAAAACACGTGCATGATAGTCCCATGAGTAAATACTAACCATAACAGAAGTATAAGGAATTCAGACTATGATTTGGAATGATTTGTATACAGCGATTATACGACACTCAGAAAAAGTCTAGATCTTAGCACACAAGTAGTAACTAATTTCAGTATCTGTAAAACTTCAGCTACAAAAAACTTCACCTTTGATTTGTATTATATTACAGACCATTCAGCCGGACATTATATCTAACAAAAGTTCACAAAATACTTCATTGATAATACAGTACAATATATTATTCACTTTAATCTGAAAACAAATTGATTAGCCTTTTTTTATTCGCCATAATACAAAAACATTCAGTAAACACTTTGCAATTACCTCACTTTTTATCATTAACAAAGATCTAATGTTAATTAAGTAATCACGCATTAATAATAACTTACTTCAATATTATAATTGATTGGTACTGTAGTTGGTAAAAAGTCTATGAATGGTAGATCAAAAGTAACCATAAGCTTTTTCGCATGAAATCCAAGATAAGCTATAATCAAAAGTATGATTAATCAATCAAATAAAAAAATATATGACAAAATACCATTTTCACCATATTTTGATATCCAATTGTAATCATTGGCTAATAAAATAAAATCTAGATTGTTTGATTTAATGTGAAATTTATAAGTGCACGGGATAAAACTAAGTAAATCCGGATGAGAACCACGACACCAATCATCTATAAGACCTGTTAAATGTTAAAATAAATCAAAACACAATGTCAATAATTAATTCGCAACATATATCAACAAGTGAATTTATTTCAACTTGGAAAAACTTTATTGTACAACATAGAAATAATGTACACATTGATTAACAGTCGATTTAGTTACATTGTTAGTAATTGCACGAATAAAATTCATGTATGAAATATCAACTTGATAATTTATATTTTGACATCTGAACCTGGAAGTTGAAGTAAGTTCAAAAATATGCTAATTTGGCTTGATTTACAGGGTTATTTTATCATTTGTCTTGATCAAATTAACAACTTTTTACAGTGAAATACATAAACAATGGTGAACTTAACATATATAACTGTAAATCCTTTACTTTAAAAGATTATAAACATCTCATAACAATGTATGAAGATTGATAAACTTCCACTCACTTATTATCTGCCATCTAATTTATTGAGTAAATTATCTTTTTTATTACAATAATTCACATATATATGAGGTTTCGCATATGAATACTACCCATAGTTTTAAATGACATTATAAATATGTGGTCAGAACAATGTTTGTTTAATACTCGATAAGATGAATCGAAAACGTGTTCAATCAAGTAGATTAGTGTGAGAAAATAGCAAACTAACCAAGTTTAGGGATCTAATCAATCATATGATACAAATATGTCTAACAGTGAATACATGAATAAGTAGAATATTAGTTTATTTTACTGAAGTTCCACCTGAGCTACAAGTCTTCTTCATAACCTAGTATTTTTACAAATTGGTTATTTTTACTATTAAATAGAGCATAGTGTATGTACCGTATTTAGTGATAACCACAGCCGAAAGTTAAACTCAACATTGTAAATAAGGAATAAGAAGTTATAGCAACAATTATCGAATTTACTAGAAATGTATTGACGATCCAATTCAATTATGGACTAAGCGTACAGTAATTCCACACAAACAATCTAAGTGTTCTACTTTCCTGGTTTGTAAGAAATTCTGGAAGAAAAACGTATTACATGGGAATTCTCAATCCCAGCGAATAGTTGTATACCTTAATTCCATTGTTGATTTTTATTAATTATCACCAAATAGTGATGAAAATAAATTCACATTTTGCTAGAAATGTATAATCTATAAAGTTAGAAGAAATACATCTAAAAAGAGGCTTCATAAAACAGGACATACAAACCAAATACTTAGGTCATTTTCCTTTGGAAAGGTAAAAAGCATTATAATCAAAGATGGATGGTAGCTAGCAGTGAAATTCAGGAGGCGCGTTTCATCCTGTTTAGGACTCATCAACTGGATATACTTGCACTCCACAGTTGATGTTCACTACGTGACTAGAAAACAGTACCGTTCGCATCAAACGAAACAAAGTTATCCATTCAACTACTGAGTCAAGACACCCACTAGCTTGTGCAATGTGGTGAAGTTTAATTCATTTGTATTGGCTGTTTGGATCTTACCACTGATGCTTCGGACTGCGATAGGGTTCGAGTCCTGGAGTCAACATCAACTCTGGGATGCAGACACATCCAGCTAACGAGTCCCAGATAAGAAGAAACGCGCGTCCTGGATTTCCCTGCTAGCCACCGTCCATCTCTGTTTATAATACTTGTGAGTTAGAGCAATATCGAAACAATCCGCACAGGATGCGCATATTTCCAAAGAGATTGACCAATTGTAGTCTTAAACATTAATGGGAAGATTCAAATAACTAATACAAATGAAGTAAAAAACATTAGTTTAGAGAAAACTAAACAACTACTAAAAATAATGGGACTAATGACTTCGTGATCTGAGCATTTAGATTTTCAACTACCGGATTACAGGTCCAAGCCCTATTCAGTCTACTTCAAGTGGTATTACCAACTTCTACATTAAGTGTGGTTTATGGCTAGATGTACACGAATGCTGACCTAGTGTTAACTGAGATGCAAGAAAATTGAAATATTAACTAAAAATATCCAAAGATTTTCGTCCAGAATCAATAATTACCTTTAAAGTAATGTTTGTAATCAAACAATACAGTTAATTGTGTATCACGTGTGTCTAACCCAATATCCCATAAGTGTTGCATATTCCATTCTCTCGGATAGTACATTTTTATATCGAGGTTCACGTACTGATCGTTAGTTAATATATTACGCCATAAATGCTCAAGGATCAGACTGGACTTAATTAGGTTGACTTTCAGAGTAGTTACAAAACCATTCTGGTTGACTAACCATGGTATACTCAGTTTTATAATTGAATTCGGAGATCCTGATAGTCTCATAGACTAAAATGTAAAAAAATGGAGGTAAAGTCAAACAAACAAAGAATATACTTTCCGAACTGAAGGCAGGAATTACTTAAATTTCTCCAGACAACTAGAAATCTTGAATACATAAAATGTAAATAATTCAGGCTCTAAGAGAGCATGAACAGATATGATTTAAGAAATATTCCCATATTAACTCACTTTGTCATTCATCTTGAAGAAATATAAGGTGGATCACCTTGACCATTACACGATAATGAAAGCAGTGTATGAAATATAGATTATGCTCTAATAATTTATTTAAGATCAGTAATAGTAGTATTACCGACAACGAATACAATTATGCCAATGCGACTGATTTTCGACCACGTCATATAGTGTCTTTTAACATAGATTACAAGTGTCGGATTAAACTATATTAAGAGGCTTACACTTGTCCATATGACTCAGTCCAATAGTCCATAACCTTATAAACTAATTTAATGTGGGACTACTTAGATATATCTCAATGCACTTCTGTTAACCAGCACACTGTGTCAATAAAATTGGTTACAGGTCATATATAATACACATTTTAAAAGACCTAATCTATTAAGGAACACAACCCCAGTAAGTGATTCTATCCAGTTGTGTAGTACGTGATATCTTAACCCAACACTCCAATTGATATGGCTTCCCAAATAAACGAAGTTTCCTATGAGCCCAATAACTCCTGTTCTACAGTTAGACGCAAACCGATCCATAAATATTATGCTTTTAATTGGAGAGGAACGTTTCCCAAGCTTCCCTGCATTGTTAACCAGGATGTTCAAAAGATTCCTTATTATGTAAGGGTCCTCATAGTGGAGAATTATGTGATCCACACACCCTAAATCAGAGTAAATCTTCACGTAGAAGAACAAGTCTTTAAACATCAGACAAGAGTACATATATGGTTTACTTCAAAAAGAAATACTTTTTATATGTGTAATCATTATTTATCTAAGAACTGTTGAACCACAAATAAAATTACATATATTAAAGCTAAGTAAATATTTAACAGAATAACAAAGCTTACTTCAACAACATCATGTCTCATGAAATAAAGATCAAGGTTGATATTAGCGGATGTTTTCAATTCAAAAACAAATTTCTTCGCAACCCTACGTTGTCCTACAGTAACTGGTTCACTGGGTTTAGTGACTTGATATGATGATGGAAAGAAAAATCGCCAGATGATATCTCTATTTGACATAAAAACACAACAAAATGGATTGAATTCAAAACATTTTAATGGCGTAGATACTTTGACTATATTTTGGTCTCGATTCTAAATGAATTTAAAGCTGTAATAATAGTGTGAAGCAGTGACTGGACAGTGAAAAGTATAGGCTTTATTAATGTTTCGCTCACAGGTTTAAATTCCACATCTATTTTACTTTAAGTAACGCAGTAGTATCTACAACATTAGTATTACAAATGTTATACAAAGTCAAGCATATAAACTTATACTTGATTAATTAGTCAAGCTGTATGTACCTAGCATCAGTTAAGAAAACGTTTTTGGGGTTCAATGCTAACTAATATGGAGAATAAAGTTTATGTGACGCGTATGGCAGTAATCAGGATTAATCAGTCTAAAATTACGATTTCATTGAAGTGATTGTGTTCTGCTGAACCGAAGAGAGGGCTAATTAACATACTAGTTGCTACTGTTAAGAATCCACTGAACGACCATGCATTCATAACTAAGATTTTATTTCTGGTGGATTTTAATGTTTGTATTTATTTAAAATTCCCAAGAGTTAGCTAACTAGTTTGTGAATGTATCAATTAGGTGAAAGGATTGAAAACTATCTTTAGTGGCCTAGATGTACCCCATATTTTGTTTGCTTTAAAATTCGAAAAGTTTATGACGCGTAGTCTATCCAGATCTTTAGGATTATAAGTTTAAAAGATACCGTAAAACTAGCTCTTAGCGAGTCCCACCAATGGACAATCCATAGAAGAAAAGGGCGAACGATTAAAACGCTGGGCGAAAAACTGTATGTACATCCGACCGTTAAAACATCCATCGAAGATTTTCAGTTAAATATTAGTAAGAATAAAATTATAAGTGAGACTAAGCAAACTTTTGTAAACATTAAATGTGATAATAAAAAGTTATTCACGGGCCAACAACAAATCTAGCTGGTTTCTCATTTTAAATCAGAACGAATGATATTCGACAGGAATATGATTCGAGTGTCTTTCTGGAAACAAATGTTTCCAACACTAACCCTTCGAATCATTTTTGATAACGATCCTTTGATTGATTTGGCTTTAGGAAAACAATGAAAGAAGTATAAACAAATAACACTTACCTTTGACGATCAGCCCATGGACCATAATTAAGTTGGCATAGTCTATTAACAAGTACATGTAATTCCCACTTAGGCCAGGTATTTAGTGCAGTTACGTTATCTTCGGTTAATTCTAGTTTTTCGGATTCACATAATCCTAAACCAACGGATTAAATTTTATATATAAATCAAATGATAGTTGGATGAACAATCGATAATATACTAACTGTTACACAGATCATTTCACAAACATATCATTTTAGAAAGGAAACAATAGCTAACTACTCCAATGTATTGATTTAAGTTGTCAAACTTCATGATAATATAAACAGAAGGAGAAAGAGAACAAACAAATAAGATTTTAAGATGTTTAGGAATTAGAGAGAGACAGGAAGTAAGTACACATATGCCTTTTTGTAAATGACTTATTATTTAATAGATTGAATTACTGGTTTCCAACACTTTGACATTATATACACGACTATTCATATGGCTCAGTTCCACAGTCAGTGACTTTATGAACTGGTATTATTGCTTGAACTACCCTGAACTCTACTCCAGCCTAATGATAAACTAATCACCAAAGAACACTGAGGTAAACCTTTAGTTGAATACGGATAAATATTACAGTATCATGCTTAATTATATTAAGGCTGAAACTTGTCTTAAAACTAAGTTGTGCCCCATTCTAAAAGCTTAAAATTAACACTAAATGCCATGTAACAACCATAGAGCTAATAATAACTGACCATAACTAACCGATTGTTGGTTGTCTACCCGAAGGTCACTAGTACGAAACCAGTGTAGTCAGCTTCCGCATTGCTGTTGTTAACTTGAAGGTTGGGTGTAAAGAAAAACTTCGTTATATGGTAAACTAAAACTAATAAAGAAATTTAATGTAATAAAAACAAACTAAAGAACTGAATTTGTGTCATTTTTAAGGTTTTAATAATCCTTTTTAAATTCCGTTATCAATCGGATGATAAACATTCAAAGAATAACACAGGGTCCTATAGGCTGGATTGATAGATAAACGTAGAATACTTAAATAACACAAATCGTGCCCCAATGTATTAAAACTAGCGCCTACCTGGTTCATCTTGTACATAGTCGATTGTACCTTCGCCAAAGTGAAAAACATGAAACGCTTTGTCCCAACTTTTAGGTGGGCTACAAGTTAAGATATAAAGGGAAGTACATTAATTTTACAAAAACCGAAAGATACATCACACTGTTTATCATATAGAATATTTTCCCTGAATAAACTGAGTCGATGAAATGATTTTGGTGCTTGATAAATTTTATTGTTAGTGACTGTCAGACACAAACCTAAACAAAACCACAGTCCATCAGTATTAAGACATTTGTGCATGTGGTCAATATGTTGACAGATACTGAACTATTCCATTTTGGACAAACATTTATACCATAAAATTATAAGCCCAAATAAAAAGAAATTCAGTACAAAAAAACAAAAGGATGCTAACATCTATTAGATTTCGATGATTTATAAATACCATTTTCGTTAAACCATTTTATTTTATGTTGGCCGCGCAGTATTAATAATAATATTGTGGAATACATTTCAGTCTAATTTAATAGATGGTAATTTTATAAGATGAATAATAAAAGTGACTTAACAAAGGATTTCTACTTGAGATTCGGTTACATTTTTATGAAAGCTAATGATACGACACGATTGTTTAAACCAAAGTATGTGACCTAGCAGCTGTATTTCGAGTGTCTTAACCACTTTGTTGAATCAAAATAAGCCAGTTTGGACTTCACGATTATTACTATCTAAATACCTAAGGATTCTTTAAAAAATGTATGTGTTTGGTCCCCAATCAAACGATGTTGAAAAACCAATTTAAAAAGATACGGACATGAAGTAAAGCACACTAATTATATTTACCCCAGTTGTTATGTAAATTCATGTTAAAAAGTCATTACTTTTAAGTATGATTTTTATAAATAATCCAACAACACACAAGAAAATCATTTGATATATATATTAATTTATGTATGGAAATAGTGAATATCATAGAGCTTACTCTTCAATAGCATGTTGGCCAGAATATTTAGACACAAGAACGAGAGAACCCATTAAATTGACAAAATGTGATTTGATTTGATGTTGATATTTATCCAATTGTGATGGTGCGTCTCCAATACTGTAGGAGCCATACATTCGACTGCATGTAACAAGACATGCTCTAGGTAGCAAGTGATTACCGGCACATATGTTAGCCTAGAACAGTTAATAAACGCAAACGATAAAAAATGAAATGAGATAAAAAGCCACGATATTTGACTGATATTAAGACTACAGAAACATCAATCTATTTTACGCCACATCACTACAGTTTGTAGTATGCAGATTATATAAATGTGAACTAGATAAGATGTAATTTATAAAAACAAAAACGGAAACTATATGCTTACCAATTCAAAGTTAAATTTAACGGCAGGTAGTAATTTATGAGCATGCTTCCAGAACATATCTAAAACTCCTGAATTCGAAGTAGAATCGCTAAAATGATGAAAATAAGTTGTTTACAGTTAAACAATGGTTACCTATATGTGACAACTCAAAACTAGCGCAATACGTAATCCTGAAAATTAGAAATGATAACAAACAAGCGGTGTATACTCTAACATTGTTTAGTGATAAAAAGATACATATGAAGCTTTTGTACTTACTAGATTTTAAAGTAGATCGACCCATCAACAGAATAATAAATGAAGGCAAAATACTGAGGTCAATCATCAAAGACCGTTTACTTAAAAATTTTGGTCTTATGTAGTGACATGCGCAGAACTAGCTTGTATTTATCGTAATAAAAGTAGAAAAGTGGGAATTAGAATTCACAAGTAAATCTACCTACTTCAGTATTGAAGAAACTTTCATTACGTAACATGGACATTTAAACAACAAACCTAAATTCTTGTTAACACTACGTCGTTTAGATAGTTTGCAGAATCTTTGAAACTACAAAATAATATTAGCTTCAAAATTATTTTTGCTTCTCCTGATTAAAGACGTTTTAGTAGTTACCAACGTAATTGGCATTGTAAAAATTAATACCTAAAATGTGAGAGAAATCACGATGACTTCTTCCCTTAGTCTACCAGCAAATCAAACAAACCCTTGCACGACTAAATAAAACTCAAGCTGAGACTAAGCTATTCCAGTACTGAAAAGAATCAATTTCGGATAAAAGCTTTATATATATATATATACAATAAACTCAAAATTTATAAAACAAAAATACTTGTACCATGGTTCTCTTTCGTTAGGAATATCTGCCTGATGACAACTATACTTTTTTGAAGCAATCAGTTTAGAAGTTTCTTTAGTGATCCCCAATGCACCTGCTGAGCGATTCAACAATTCTGATGATTCATCCTGGTTCTGCCTAAAAACGGCTTGCAACATTTTGTAGACAGTGGTGCGATTAAACACGTGGATATCAACTCCATAAAGATAAATGTGAAGACATCTCTTCTGGAAAGTATCTACAATAACCAAGGGAAATTCACAAAATCAACTAAATGATGAATGAAGTTAGAGCTATTAATACAAAGTATCCAACTGCATAACGGATTCTAGGCTGTGCTACCCGAATTCGAGACATCTTGTGCCAGAGACAGTAATAGTATTAAGCTTACTTGGTGTCTAACGCGTTTAGTAACAACGTAAACGCCTTAATTATTATAACCCAGGGTACATATTAAATAAGCAGCTAGATGAGTGTACTAATACAACTGTATATGTATGACTACGCTTATATTATAAATGAAGAGAAACAATCACATGTCCCGCATCACTTTGAACTTCTCTTACACAGCTGCAGTTATTTTTCAATGATGATAGAGAAATAATGATTCCATCAGAGTAATCATTTACAAATTTCCGGGCCTTAAAGTGTTTCACGTCCTCGCTATCTGGTTACCTCCTGGAGCGAAGCGATACAGAATATTAACACAACCATAATATTTTAATGTTAATTACTATTAACATTTGTATATTAGTACAAAATACACGGACTTACGAATACAATGTACAAAAGGATAACAAACTATAAACTCTTGGAAAAGTCATCACATTAGTCACATTAAATACGAACATAAATTGGCTTACCCTTTCTTCCTGGATAATATCTCGTCCAATAATTAAACACAACAATGACATAACAAATTCTCACAGAATAATCATCATTCACGTAAACAAAGTCTCTTAACATCAACTTCCCACCGAGAGCTGCAAAAGATATTGAGCCTATGCGGATAGAAATGCGTGAATTTGTGGCCTACCAACATTGATGTAACAATCCTTGATGAATCTCCTGACTATAGTGGATACAATCAACCCAACAACTCTAGAATTATAAAATAGAGCATATATTGTCCAGGAAATGAAGGAAATCAGTGACAGCAAAGATAGATGAAAATCTCCTCGATCGATTGAGGCTGTTATTTGAGTATCCAGAGAGTGGTTGGACTTAAAAATAAAGTCCCTTTCGAAGATGTTTGACATCGCCAGTAACCTTGAGGGTCGAAAACCCGCCACACATTAGTACAATTAAATGACGAGCCATCTGTGCACTCCAAAAATCATTCCAATAGTTAAAAACGAACTAAAAAATTTAACATAACCAGCTCAAGATTCTATTCTACTAGTAATACGGCATCAATCGCTATCTTTAGTCTTTAACGTGTGCAGCTCCTCTTAACAGACATTGAAACAGACCTCTAAGTCTCAACGTCTAGTAGGTTACATAACTCGAAACCTTTATTACAATGAGTCACGTATTTCAATATACAAAGTTTGTGCTCGACCTCTTCTAGAATATTGCACGTTTATTCTTAGCAGTGCGCGCATAAAGGATAAATTAAGGCTGGAACTAAACTATCCTTTACATCCAATCACGTGATTCAATAAGCAAAAACTTCTCATTATGACACCCGTAATTCCTTGGCACTACTGAAACAGACTTATTCTAAATCATCTCTTTATATGAATTACTTCACCTGTGAATTTTCTAGACTCTGGAATAACCTACCACGATCTATCCGTACGATAAAATCACTCCCATTATTTGTTCGCTGCATCGATGCACACTGCTCCTCTGAAAATGCATTGAATGTTCTAGCACTTGTAAGTGTATCTCATTCCACAAGTGATATTATAGGAACTTGGAATGTTTAGCCATCTTTATTGGTGCATTCCCTAAGTAAAACCACCTACTTGCTGTCACTTTATGTTAACACCGTCCCTAGCACGTTTAACTAATTTGAATAACATCAACAGTATATCACTGTGTCACATGACACACGCATTTTGGTAGACCTGATTGATATATTTTGGTAATTACTGCTTTGTTGTTCCGTGATCTCTGTTTTCGTTTTAATTTCTCTAGTTGTAGATAATTATCATTAATTCGATCTGTCACACGAAATGACCTTAATTACTCTGTTCATAAATCAACAGGCTGTACTATTTAAACAACTACTGAACTAGTATACTTAAAACTTTATTCTATCACATGTTTGTTCTGTACATCTAATGTTACTATTTATACTAAATTGTTCATGCCTGTAAACTGGAGTGAATTCTGTAATTATTATTTTCAGAATATATAAATTATTATTATCAAATCCACTCCAAAGTTACTAGTACCGTGGGGGGGTGCTACTTATGTCGACTTAAGTAGCATACAACGCTAGTCGGGAATAGAACGTCTGGCTGTAGAATGTTGGGAGAGTCGAGGAGGGAAGAATGAGAGCAGAAAGCAATTGTCATGAAAATGCGGGAACAATGAAGCCTGAGACAACTAATGAAAATTTTTCAAATGAAGAACTGAAGTATGGTTCTCCCATTTTATCAAGTAACTCTTATTTTGTGCTAAATATAATTGGTTGTCCTCAACTGTGTTCTTCGCCACATTACATTGTTGTTTCAGAAGGCAGTTTTGTCACATTTAACTCTAGACTTTAAGTCATGTTGTTTCAAGACACTTAATTCGTCTTCAACTGGTGGCACTTCTGTAGTGCAAATATTCAAGTTGCATATGTAGTTTGCATAATGTCAAAGGCAGACTGCACAACAATTTTTTTCTTTGAAAGTTCTATATACCTGTGATTTTGACGGTATTGTCGTTTCTTGAGTTTTTGTCTATACTACGTCAAAGATTCATAAAAACGTAGTTAATTATTTCTCAGTCTTCTTTTGCTAAACCTTTCTTTCGACATTCTGGTTTAGATTCTTTAGTACCACTTCATTTTGTCGTATGATCCCGAACGATTGACAGCAAGATCTTGAAAAATTGAATTCGAGATAACAGTGTAGAGTGGTTTATTATTAATTCTCTTGGGCTGTTTGCTCGAAACTCTTGCCAGTAGACTTAATTAGTTCAGATAGAAATTTGATCCCACTTTATTCTAACGTTCTTGTTTATTTGACGTATTACTACGGATACAAAGAAACGTATAAGTAAATTTCTTAAACAAAAAATGTTCCTCCGAATATGGAACGTCTGCAGTCTGTCAACGTTACATGCTATCGATGAACTGACTTCATGCAATTTACGAAAGTTCTACTGAAAAATGTAAATCTATGGTTCATATGCGAGCTAGTCTAAAAACCAAATGCGACAAGAAATCAGGTGAATTTCTTACAATTTCGGTTTTCAATTCAAATACTATGAATGTATTGTAGATTGTACAAAGTCTACACTCAGTGCACAGCCGAACAGATACATGATTGACTCAAGTAGCAGAACAAAAGATTGCGGGAATCTGGATTTTCATTTAAGCTGTAGAGTTTATGGTATTCGTACTAGCTGATGATTACTTTGCAATTGACTGTACGCTAAATAGAAACTCCAAATGTAGTACGTCCGTTTGTGCTCATTTAGTTCTACTTTCCTTAAAATTGCACTGTTTCGGGAACTCTTAGTTAGCAAGGTGATTTGAATTATCCTATCATATTATTCTCAGGTACTTAAAATTTGTATTCATTGACCGTTAGTCAACATACATTACGTTATTTTGTACTTTTAATTTTATAGTAGGTGAGTAGCATAATGAGGTAATCTACAGCAAAAATAACCACTGTAATAAAGCTTCGCAAAGTACGCTCAAACCTTTCTCATATTTAGTCGTTGTTTTCAACCTCGTAAATCATGCAGAAGGAAATGATGGATTATTATGATAGAGGAAAACTTGGTTTGTCAGACCGCTTTCTGCATTTAGACTTAATATTCGAAATTTCATTGTTATTGGATACTGTGCGATTTCCGAAACTGAATGTGAGTTCCATTTTTTGCTCTGTGTTAACACATCATAATTGGTGAGAAATTCTATCCTAAGTTTTACGTTGTTAGCATAACTTAATATTTATAAGTTAACTCCCAAGGTATGTTCTTCGTATAAGTCAGGTAATGAAACGTTTTAAAACTAAAGCATGTTGAGGCTCACTAGTACATTCTGTATCCGGAGAAAATGAGCACTTCATTCTGGCCTAAACAGACTGATTATTTAGATATTACTTAGACCACTCTATTAGTTCTGACTAAATACATATTACACTATCTTTACCGATACGAGCGACGATGAGTGTCAGCAGACATATAATCTACAATTCACTTTATCCGAAGCCAGGTTATTAAAGTTATAAAATTTGTGAACAATAAATAATCAGGTAGGTAAACCAGATATTTTACAATCCCTAACGGAATAAAAAGAAACAACTGATTGATAGTTATGTGGAATATTTTAGCAGCCTTCTTTGCAGGTTGGAATGTTGTGTGCTACCTTCGACTTATCTGGCGCCTTTCCTTGGCTTAGTGTGAGCGATAAAGGCAGACTAAGGGGTTTTACTTGAGAAAAGACTTCACACTAATTAATGAAACTATGGAGATGGAAAGATTCAACCACATAAACATGTCGAAAATATATTTGCCTGTCACCGTATGGAGAATCGAGGTTGTGGTAGGCTTTTTGTTACACTATATGTGAAAGACGAAGGGAACGAAGTCAACCGTTTAAACAGGGATATTTTTATTTATAAGTTTTTAACCCTAACAGGAGGTTGCCGAACAGCTCTTGACCCTCTAACTTAGACTGCCACAACCCAACGTAGGAAGCTTAGGGAAAGGTTAAGATAATCACACACTCTGGAGAGACAATGAATTATAAGATATTCAAGATGACATATTGTAGCGTGACGTCGAGTCGCGGTAGACTATGAACACCGTTACAGAGAGACACATGCCAAATAAATCCATAAAATCCCCGGGAAGCCAAATATCAGCAGGCAGTTAATGGACCAAATCGAGGTATATTCGCTGGCGATCTCGTGGTATCGAAAGGATACCGAGGTCGTGCCAGTATACATGCTTGGTTACAGAACGTAACCGAATTCGCGCGAAGTCACAATCAAAGTCTAAGAATAATGGATGCTTTTTAGCACAGTTAAACAAAAGCACATTAAAACAGTCACTGGTACAATTGGTTATAATAATAATTGTTTTCATTAAACCAATCGTGTTCTCGTGATAAAAGTGAGTCACTACAATATCATCACTATCACAGGTGACACTAGAAACCAGACCAAGTAGTCAAGGAATCCATCTTTACTGGTTGCTTTCCAACAATCCTTTTGATCTAAAAGAGGACAAAAGGTTCAGAGAATTCAAACTTTGCCAATAAAATGTCCAGAGATTCATCCAGGATTGGGAAGTGCAATAAAGTTTAAAGGAATTTTTTAAAGAAATCACCACACAACACCAAAGATAACGAGGCTGGATAAAAGTGGGTCCTTTTACAACAGTTACCGGGACATTAACGACCACAACAACACTGGAGTACAACTCACATTCAGTATCCAAGAGGATATTGGCAGATCATGTTATGAGGGAATTGACGGCAAAATCGCTGCAATCACAGTTATTAACAATATAACTGTCATCCCTTTAACCTAGCTTGATGCTGTGGCGGTAGAACAGAAAATCGACTTTAGAGAAAAATTACTTGATAAACCGGAATGTTTCAAGAAACAGGAATGGGATTGTTGCCACGCAGCCTGAGAATAGTCAACTTTCCGCGATCTAGTAGTGCAAAATTCGTGAGCATATAATGAAGAACAAAGCTAGACAAAACACCTGGGCTTATCCAGGCACATTCAAAGGTCTGAACAAGACAAATGAAATAGAAAAACCCATACAACTAAATGGGCCGCACCTTGAGTCTAAGAAACTAAAAAACATACTGTTTATGATTGGAAATCAAACACTTAAAATAGGAAAGCGAATCAACTTATTACTGAATCTACTTTAAAAGGATACTACTAAACAACGTCATTTCAATACCACATCCATCAATATATTCGGGCATAATTATCATCCGCGAATTAAAGCTGCCGAAGTGGAGCCAAATAATTACTACAGCATATTTATTTTCGGTAAAGTTAGGAGAATGTTTATCAACATAATCTCTCAACTCTTTATCCATTTGCACATCACATTATACCATTTACCTAGTATCGAGAAGTAGTTATCCTAGTCAAACACATTGGGTAGAGT